ACTATGGTGTAGTGTTGGATGCTTGCCGTAGAGCTCCATGCTGCCCCCTACAGTTTGGGAGAATATTGGCTCACCGCAGAGACGAGCCGCACAAACCATAAACGCTGCGAGTTGTGAAGCGCGTTGTATGGCAAGCCAAAACCGTCACAATACGCCACTTTCCCAACCCGTCTAGTTAAGAAATGTTGAAAAAAAAAACGCCGTTTGATGTGCCAAGACGTCGTAAAATACGGCGAAAACTCTGCCAGAACGCCGTAATTTACGCCGTTCTGAACGGTCCCGTAGAACGCCCGTAAAATACGCCGTTTTTTCCGGACATTGAACGCCGTTTTTTACGTCACCCTAATCCCAGACGCGTTGTCTGTGTGGGTGGCGTAAAATACGGCGTTTGGTACGGACATTGAACGCCGCTTTTTTCGCCGTTCTGTGACATAAAACGCCGCTTTTAACGCCACTTTGTGACAGTTTTAACGCGTTTAAAATTCAACTTTACTCTCATTTATGCAGAGCCCTCCCCATGGGTTTCGCATCCACTTAATTTAAACTCCAGTGACCCAATGAAAGACGAGGAGGTTGAGGCAGCACTAATTCATCCCAGATTGGCCGGGCTGTCGGGCTGTGCGGATTGCTGTTTTCTAATACAACTCGGCTCTGTTTCAACTAATTTCACTGTATTGAAAAAGCCTTGAAATGTAGTAATATTATCAACAATGTGTCAACATTATTATTTTTTCTGTCCACCTGTAAAAGGCAGAAACGCTGTTTCAGTCAGACCTGATGATTACTTAAAAGTGTGGCTGCCGTATCAGTCTGTCCTCGTGGCTCGTGAGTCCAGCTGAAACATCAGTGCTCTTTCTGTCCAAAACTCCATTCTTCTTAAGTTCATCCACTTTCAGTATTTACTATTGTGACAGTGTGTGTGTGTGTGTGTGTGTGTGTGTGTGTGTGTGTGTGTGTGTGTGTGTGTGTGTGTGTGCTGTCGCAACGTCCCGATTGATCATGCGCCCTGGCTACCTGGTCAAGGGGATGTTCCTTTGGCTGACTGGTTAGAGCGTATTACTCTCACCCGGGAGTCTGGGGATCGAATCCCGCCCGAGCCCTCGTTTATCCACCTGGCCACACTATTGTTTTTTTTTTTTCGTTTTTTTTTAAACGACTGTTATACTTGTCTTACAGGAGCTTCTGAAGATGTTCTGTCTTGCTTCTCCATCATCACTCTCCAGCTCCTCAGACCAGCCACTCCAGAACCTTCCCAGATCCAGGATCAGAGCACTTTAATTAAAGTTTGAAACATGTCTGCTTGTTGTTCTCCTATAGAAGCCTTAAACTAGAATTTGCTAATGAGCTTTCTTGGCTAAAATATGCTCTTAAATGTTTTTATTTACATAATCAAGAAACACGTTTTTCATTGCTGCTTCACCAAGACATGACTGAAAATGTCCTCATGATCCTGAAACGCTGGTTAAAACAAATTACTTTTAACCTCTTATAAAACAAACGTGTCTGTTGATGATTATGCCCACTACAATACTGAAGCACCTGCATACTTGCTACCGATTTGCTAACTTTCTGTAATATTTGATATTTAAGTTGAAAACATGAACTGCTGTAACACAAATTCCAAATGTTCTAGTTGAGCACTTGTTTCTAATCAACTAATCATTATTTCTGTGATTAGTCAGCTTTTTCCTTTTCAATAAACACATGGAAAAATTACAATTATCTTACTGAAAAATGGTTTAACAGTGTTGCACATGTATAATAATCTGCACTGGTTTTCACAGTTACGGCATTCTTCAAACTATAATAATAAAATAAAGTGAAAATATATTTACAATTGATTACTTCAAGTTCCTACTATTTACATTTTATGCATCGATACTGTAAATGGCTGTTTACTAAGGCATACAGAGTCAGTGCCTGTACTTTTATTGGATTGGCTTAGTGTCTGGCTGCAGAAGCAGAACAGATCGACTGAAGCAACTGTCTCTTTAGGTTTTGAGCACTACAATTTATGAAAAATATTTACAAATTTATAATTAGATATAGATTTAGGAAGACATCGAATGAATGCAACATATCAGCTGGAGTTGTTCCTTCTGTAAGAATCTCTGGATGTTAAAAAGGTTTCTCGTGTTTGCACCTTATGACACAAAGCAGATCAGACTGTCAGGTCTTTGAAGTGATGCTTTTGGGCCTGGTCCCTGGTGGTTTCCAGACATTATTTAGTTTACAGATCTTTAGCTGCACATGGAATGTTCTCATACGGGTTCTTGCCTAGTAAGCAGGGGGTTGCCTCCTGTAAAAATGGAGATGATCAGCCTCATTTTGTCTTTCAGCACACTCCGTAAAGTCCTACATTTAAAAAATGTGGTTTGTGGGAGAGGCTCATCTACTTTCTAAGGCTAACACTTTTAAACTCCTCTTAAGCACACACTCAACTTGTTAATAACTAAAAGGATTGTTCAATACCTGCTCAAATAAACAAGGCAATTCTACAGACTCGTGGATTTGTAAGTAGCATTAATGAAGAATACAGGATCATATAGAACAGAAATATGTAGATTTACAAGCAAACTACCTGTGTACAGGCACTGACTTTGTATGCCTTAGTAAACAGCCATTTACAGTATCGATGCATAAAATGTAAATAGTAGGAACTTGAAGTAATCAATTGTAAATATCTTTTCACTTGAAGAATGCCATAACTGTGAAAACCAGTGCAGATTATTATACATGTGCAACACTGTTAAACCATTTTTCAGTAAGATAATTGTAATTTTTCCATGTGTTTATTGAAAAGGAAAAAGCTGACTAATCACAGAAATAATGATTAGTTGAATAGAAACAAGTGCTCAACTAGAACATTTGGAATTTGTGTTACAGCAGTTCATGTTTTCAACTTAAATATCAAATATTACAGAAAGTTAGCAAATCGGTAGCAAGTATGCAGGTGCTTCAGTATTGTAGTGGGCATAATCATCAACAGACACGTTTGTTTTATAAGAGGTTAAAAGTAATTTGTTTTAACCAGCGTTTCAGGATCATGAGGACATTTTCAGTCATGTCTTGGTGAAGCAGCAATGAAAAACGTGTTTCTTGATTATGTAAATAAAAACATTTAAGAGCATATTTTAGCCAAGAAAGCTCATTAGCAAATTCTAGTTTAAGGCTTCTATAGGAGAACAACAAGCAGACATGTTTCAAACTTTAATTAAAGTGCTCTGATCCTGGATCTGGGAAGGTTCTGGAGTGGCTGGTCTGAGGAGCTGGAGAGTGATGATGGAGAAGCAAGACAGAACATCTTCAGAAGCTCCTGTAAGACAAGTATAACAGTCGTTTAAAAAAAAACGAAAAAAAAAAACAATAGTGTGGCCAGGTAGATAAACGAGGGCTCGGGCGGGATTCGATCCCCAGACTCCCGGGTGAGAGTAATACGCTCTAACCAGTCAGCCAAAGGAACATCCCCTTGACCAGGTAGCCAGGGCGCATGATCAATCGGGACGTTGCGACAGCACACACACACACACACACACACACACACACACACACACACACACACACACACACACACACACACACACACACACACACACACACACACACACACACACACACACACACACACACACACACTGTCACAATAGTAAATACTGAAAGTGGATGAACTTAAGAAGAATGGAGTTTTGGACAGAAAGAGCACTGATGTTTCAGCTGGACTCACGAGCCACGAGGACAGACTGATACGGCAGCCACACTTTTAAGTAATCATCAGGTCTGACTGAAACAGCGTTTCTGCCTTTTACAGGTGGACAGAAAAAATAATAATGTTGACACATTGTTGATAATATTACTACATTTCAAGGCTTTTTCAATACAGTGAAATTAGTTGAAACAGAGCCGAGTTGTATTAGAAAACAGCAATCCGCACAGCCCGACAGCCCGGCCAATCTGGGATGAATTAGTGCTGCCTCAACCTCCTCGTCTTTCATTGGGTCACTGGAGTTTAAATTAAGTGGATGCGAAACCCATGGGGAGGGCTCTGCATAAATGAGAGTAAAGTTGAATTTTAAACGCGTTAAAACTGTCACAAAGTGGCGTTAAAAGCGGCGTTTTATGTCACAGAACGGCGAAAAAAGCGGCGTTCAATGTCCGTACCAAACGCCGTATTTTACGCCACCCACACAGACAACGCGTCTGGGATTAGGGTGACGTAAAAAACGGCGTTCAATGTCCGGAAAAAACGGCGTATTTTACGGGCGTTCTACGGGACCGTTCAGAACGGCGTAAATTACGGCGTTCTGGCAGAGTTTTCGCCGTATTTTACGACGTCTTGGCACGTCAAACGGCGTTTTTTTCGCCATTTCTTAACTAGACGGGTTGGGAAAGTGGCGTATTGTGACAGTTTTGGCTTGCCATACATTCCAGCCGCGTCACCGCGCGGAAAGTGAATGCGTCAAGCATAAACCAAGCTTAAGGTGGAGCCACTAATTCATGCAAACATTGGAGCTGCTAATTCACTCGTCCCATGGCCTGTTTCACCTTCTGTTTTCATGATGAAACATAATCCCTCAACTTACTCTTGACTTTCTTTATATAAAGAAAGAGATAAAGATATGAGGGAAAGGATCAGTTGGATTTGTTTAATATTTTATGACTTTTTTTGTTTTTAATCTAGTTCTGTTTAAGATCATTATGATTTTATGACTTTTTATTTAGTTGGAGCAGAAACGGGTGGAGCTGACTCTAGGTGCATCTCCACCCTCTGGAGCAGCTCCACCTTCGTGGTTCCGCAGGGAGCACCCTCTCCGCCGGACGAGGCCCCCTCCCTGAATATAACATGAACCGAGATGTGGCTGGAGGGTAAATTTAGCTACCGTGCCCCCTCGTGGCGAAACACTTATATGATTTATATCCAGTCATTTTCTAATTCCCAAGAGTCTAAATTATAAGTGAGTATTTTGAAATATCTCATTAAATGCAACTTTTGCAGTCCGATGCTAATATGACTACAGGTTTATTTAAAATTTTAGATAAGGCAACATTTTTTCTATTACCCAATAACATTGTTCAGAACATATAACTGATAGTAGCGTGTTTGTAACAGACACGTGACATTTTAGAGGTTATTAATCAGTGAGTGGATTGCTGATAGTTTAAGCACATAAATTAACAGATTCAATAATATTCACACACCACATTCAATCAATTCAATAAAGAAAGTAAAAAATATATATATAAATAGCAGAAAGGATATTATAAAACATTTTGTATTACATTCACTGTTAGGTAATGTTTCAAGCTTTCAGTATTATGAGCACTTTTATCTGGCTTAACAAATCAATATGAGTGCAGCTTTAGGCTGATCTGTATCTCCAGTCCTATGTTACACACATTCAGTAGCGCTTTGGAGAAATGTTCAATATGAGAGGACGTTCACAGAGTCTGGATTGATTTCTGCTTCCTTATTTGTGGGGGAGTGGTTGGTCCTGCTTGGTGACTCTGATGGTGTTCCGATTATATCGCTGTTTACTTCTTCAGCCTCCTCCTCTCTCTGCTGCACAGAGGACAGGTACTCCTCCAAAAGGCTGCATTCTGCACTGTCCACTGCATCACCAGTGAGGCCACCTCGAATGGGGCTCAGCGTTCGCACGGTTTTTATAGTGTCGGCCGTCCCGCTGCTCAGGAAGCTGTCGTCCTGTGCTGCCTGGCGATCACTGGTTGATTGGAAGCCGGAGTCGGGGAAGGAGACGTCTGTGCTCGGTGGGTTTGTGGTGACAACAGGTGGGGGGGTGTTACAAGGTGCAGGAGATGAGATCTGAACTGCGCTGACAGACTTCACAGCTGCCAGCTTCTCCTCTACGGACTGCTTCCACTGCTGCATGGACTGAAGCTAAACAAAAATAAAAGTAAAGGATAAAAATATAAGTGATAAACTACATCTCAGAGTAGCAGGTTAAGAAAAATTGACCTGATTGCAAAAAAGAAATCTACATTTTATAATATTTACATTTTTTGCATTTTTAAATAAATCAGAAGCAAATTATCTGCACTTAAGCTGCTTAAAATGTCAAAACTGCTCCTTATTTTACTTTAAGCCTTCAGTTTTTTTAATTTACCTAAATATCTACTAAAAATGATTATAGCACTGACTAAACCGTTACTTAAAGTGATCATAAATGCAATTTCTAACCTCTTTCCACAGAAACTTCACAGCCTCCTCCTGAACCAGCCGTTGCAACCTTTCCTCCTCATACTGCTTTTGCACGCTGCAAAAAAATCAGGTTAAATTTAACAAAATCTCTCAACTTCCAGACATATATTAAGGTATAACTTTAAATAAAATGGTTAATAAAGAGATTTGTGACAGTTAATTCATGTTAAGTCACTCACGTGTCCAGTTTGTTCGACAGGAAGACGATGTGTTCTTGCATCCGCCGCAGACGGATTTCGCCGCGCACCTCTCTGGCTGCAGGATGACAACCCCGAGTGTAGTGTCCCCTCCACCAGGACTGGATTTTAATTGCTGCATTCTCTGCTTCTATCAGACTTGACTTGTTGACACACGTATCTGCTTGTTCCATCTTAGGTACTTTCACTTTGGCTTTACCAAAGTCAGGAGATATTTTTAGATCATTTTGCGATGAACTAACTTTGACTGCTGATGCAGCTGCTGTAGTTGCAACAGCAACAACCTCCTCTCCAGGAGCCTTCCTCTCATCTTTAGTCATCGGAGACAGGTTATTTGCCTTGCTTGTGTTGAGCTTTTTGGGTTGCGATGGGCGCTTTGGTGCCAGAGAGTCGGGCTCGAACGTCTCGGTCTCGTCTTCGCTGTCAGAGCGGGCCGTTTGCGACTCAAAATCAGACATGAAGGGGAGAAAGGTGGACTCTGAGGACAGCAAGCTGCTGTTGAGTTTGTCCTCATCAGTCTGCACATCCTCCAAATAAATGCACTCGCTGGCAGGTTTTGTGCTGCGAACCACTGGCAAAGATCGATGGGAACACTCAGAGCTCACCCATGTGTTAAACTGCACCACTGGTTCTGCACAAAAGCAGATAGTATCAGCAGCTGAGCATCAAAACACCAATAAAAACACATCAGAACAACTTCAACATGGAGGGAAAAAAACCTTTTACCGTTCTCTTGGACAGAAGGAGCAGCAGCTGGTAAATGTGAGGCGACTGGCTTCACCTCCTGAGCTCCACACTGCGGACTCGCACGTGAGGGACTGAGCTTTTCCACGTCAAGCTGAGTTGGACGAGGCGGACTGGGACAGCCACCTCGTATCTCCTCCAACAGCTGGCGCTGATGAAACCTGACACAAACAAAATTCCAAAACAAACTCAAGCTAATTTTAAAGGTGGATAAGACATCAGAATACTCTTGCTTTAATGGTTAGTATTTCCATTTGATTAACATGGATACCTCTGTTTACTGAGGATCTTCTCCAGTTTTGCATCTTCTGCTGTCTCCAGGGCTGGTGATGAGGTCAGAGGGCAAACAGTGGCCAAGTACTGAACCAGCTGGACATGCTGCCCTGGTCGATATGAGCGACCTTTACCCTGGCTGTAGAGCCACTCTGCTTTGAGACTGTAATTATAAAAATAATTTAAAAAAAAAAGTAAGATACAAAAACCTCCAGATTGTGGTCAATTAGAAGATTACAAGAAGACACCTTTCTTTTTGTGTCACCACATAGCCGTCGAGGACCTTCAGGTTCAGACACCAACTCATGATGTACGGTCGATAATCGCAACTCGGCAACATGGGCGTCGCCATGACACAAGGGTTACACATGATGGACAGCTGCTCCAGTTCATGAAGAGGAGCAAGATACGACACCTAAAGAGTAGTCATCATGGTTAATGAAAAACTATTGTGTTTTTAGGTCGTATCATCAAGATAAAAAAAAAATGAAAGCAGAAAAAGCTGATTACCTCATTAAGATCTCTTATCTCGTTTTCTGCCAGGGACAAGATGGATAAATGAGCAGGAAGGTGCACAGGAACAGTACGAAGGGTTGTTATGCTGTTTCCATGGAGTAAAAGTGTCTGCAGTGGGATTGAAAAACAAAATCAAAAGATACACTGAAGAAAATGTTTCGTATGCTATTTTTATGCACATATAACCACTGACCTTTAATGCCATCAGTTTAGTCAGATCACCAGTCGTTGAGATGTTATTGTCAGACAGATCCAGGTGCTGGAGCGACACACAGGTGTTAAGCTGTTCAATGACCTGTCACAGACCAAGGAATCTGTTAAACCTCTATCATCATCCATGAGGAAACGATGTTGGCAAATACAAGAATGTAAAAACAGGCATTAATCTAATCTTACTTTAATGTTGTTGCCAGACAGGTTGAGCCATTTCAGATGACGCAGATCTCGCAGCCCTTCGATGTAACCAATACTGTTGTTGGGAAGATTGAGTACTCTCAGCTCAGTCAGCCGAGAAACACTCATCATTCTCACCAGGCGATTATTGGCTACCGATAGCTGATTAGAAAATGATGAAGATTTTAAAGATAAGACGTTGAATTAGAAATCATGAGTTCACCCATTTACTGTAGGTCAATGCAGTTACCTGCTGAATGCTGGGGCATCGTTCCAGGTGATCCAGCTTCATAATGTTGTTACGGTCCAAGATGAGGGTGTGAGTATCCTCAGAACATGTGAAACTGGAATCTAGTTTCTGCATGCCTTGATCTGAAAAATCCTTCACAGATCCTGGCAGTATATAGAATATAGTTAGACTGACACAATACCAATTAAAAAGTTAATAATATATTTACTCTTTTTCTCCTTTACACAAATGGTTACAGCTAGCGAAGGGCAATTTCAAAACTGTATCAAACACCAAAATCAAGGGAAAATAAATGCATATTATCCCTACATTTAAAAGCAAAATGATGGGTCAGTGTAAGAATCTTTGCTTTGATGTGTTTAACACAAAACTGCGCGCATTGTAAGACGACAGAAATGACACAGGATGTTTTGATCTGCTCATAATCATGCTAACGGGCTAGCGGTAGTCATCTGATGCAGCCATCACTCCAATGTCCAGAAAAAACACGGAAATGTTACTTTTTCTGTAAAAACAAAACAAAATTTACACCACCTACCATCAACTATATCACTCTGTAAATCTGATACACCCATCTTGTTGCCCCAAACAACGGCAAGCGTTAGCTAGCAAGGGGAGAGCAAGAAGCGTCGTTAGGTTGTCAGATGCTGTGCGAAAGGCATTGTGGGAAATGCAGTTCACTTATTCACTTTCATTGGTATATTGCATCGACTTTCGTCTTAAAAAGACTACAGTTTTCCAAAAGCGCGCCGACGTCCCGACAGCCAAGTTGTAGTGAAAAACCATAATTAAAAAAAAAGACTGGATAAAAACGTCAAATTAAATATATAGGATTCAGTGTAAAACTATAATCTTTTTTATTTGCATCATACATTTGTTTTTTTCTTTACGTTTTGTTGCTGCGCATGTTTGGCAAGAGAGAAATATTGTATGAACTTATTGTAGTCATATTATTATTTTATTGGTTTGAGATTTTTGTTAGTATTTATCCAAAAGAAAGAAGAAAAGTGCCTAAAACGATATTAAAAGTGTACTTTGAAAGTACTCTAATTCTGTTTCCGCCTCCGTCATCTCTCTTTCCGGTTGTGAGCCGTCTCGTAGCCATCATGAAGTAAGTGTACCGAATAAAAATCTAAAGCCATCTCAACATTTAAATAAAAACGATTAATGCGTTAGCCATATAAAAATGTATTGTTTTTGTTTTCCCTTTTGTGATGTATTATATTTGTCATTTTCAGGGTTGAGTTGTGCAGTTTCAGTGGGTATAAAATATACCCCGGCCATGGCCGCCGATATGCCAGGATAGACGGAAAGGTAACTTCATCTTGTGTCCCACACCGGTTCTGTACTTAGCCGGTCTGTAATAGATATTAACATTTTCTCTAAATGAAGTTCATCGTATCGGAAATGTTATTGCTCCGTTTCTGTTGTATCTTCTGAAAGCCTTTTTACATGCTACAGTTAACGTTAGCAACCAACGTCATCATTAAGCGACTCATACGAATTTCCATGATCAAATGTAATGTTTCTAAATGTACAGCCACAAAATGTTACCAAGTGTAAATGCTATCTATTTTTGTAATGTATGTTGCATTAGAAGTAAGTTGTACGATTTAATGATGTATGACTTACATTTTAATGGACCATATCGCTTGTCAGTACAGCAACATTTACCATCTGATCTAGCCCTGGAAGTATTTTTAACCTGATCGTTTTAGTAATGTAATATGTGTTGAATGTAAGACGTTCTGTATAATCAAATATATTTAAATGTTTTTGGCAGGTCTTCCAGTTTTTGAACGCCAAGTGCGAGTCTGCCTTCCTGTCTAAGAGGAACCCCAGACAGATTAACTGGACTGTGCTGTACAGACGCAAGCACAAGAAGGGCCAGTCTGTAAGTGGCAGCTTTTTACTAGTCTTCAAGGACGAGGCACTTCTGATTTATTTATGTTTTCTTAGGAAGGTCCTTTTGAATGTTGCGGTTTTGAATTGATAACATTCATTGTAAATTTTCTTCTATTCACACCATTATTCATGCATTAAGTTGATCAAGCATATTTGGCTGCGAGTGAACGATGTGCATGGTGATGGTCCATGTTATGTGTTGTTGCTGAACTGTGTTTTGCAGTTTAACAGCAGTGCTCACACCACACCTGCAGCCATAGAACAACTGGGGATCATAGTACTGGCCTTTGACTGTCTTTCTTTTGGCATCTCTGCATTGGCCAGCCTCCAAACTCTCCAACATAATATTTTTCACCCATTTGTATTATTTCAGGTGTATTGCAAGATGGACAGTTTTCACAATTAAAATATGAAATTCCTTGAAGCGGTGCAGTCAGTTTTGCATTTTTGCTGTTTTAATTAACCCAAGTAAGGGTTTGTAGCATGCTCAATGTTCATTTCAAACTTTAAGTCTTTGTCCTTTAAAGTGTTCTTGTCCTAGAAATAAAATAGTTAAGTGTTTCATTAACTCGTTTATTTTGTGTTAGTGGTACCAGTTTTACTGATTTTAGAGTTGTGTGTTGTTGACATGCAAAGCACATTAAAATGTCACATTCAGCATGGTACAAGTAAATGTCATTTGTGTCAACAGGAAGAGGTGACAAAGAAGCGTACCCGCCGTGCAGTAAAATTCACGAGGGCCATCACTGGGGCCTCCCTGGCTGAGATCATGGCCAAGAGGAACCAGAAACCCGAGGTCCGCAAGGCCCAGAGGGAGCAGGCCATCAGGTCAGTGGACAAATTATAACTAAAGCTTGGAACCGACCCGGAGTACACATGACCAGACTGGTTTCAACAAGTGTGATTAAAGACTGGGATCACACACTTAACTGGTATTGATGAGGCTGTGAGGGATCACCGAGTACAGTTTCTCAAACCAACTTCCGACTGAATCCATCAAACTGCCAAGCTGCATCTACAGTAATAGTAGAAGGAAGTAAACATTAAAAACACTGCTGCTGTTTGCTAAGATTAAAAAGAAAAATTAGGGTTGGGTTAAGCCATGGAAGGGTTAACGTTTGAAATTTGGACTATCATTGTTTTGACATTCCTACTATTTATAAAATAATTTGAAGCCATTTCCCCACATCCCATCATTTCTTAAACATTAGCTGTTAACACATATTTGCAGATGAGTTTAACAATTTAATGCAACAAATTTATAAATTTAAACATGTTTGACTGCTGCTGACTTTAGGTCGGGTCTTTTTTGCACTCACATTTCTTATTTTTACCCCATTCACACATTTTGTTCCAACTAATCATGCAGACTAGACTGTTCCCAACTAGTGCAGACAGAAATGGTCAAATCTGACATAATGTTGTGTCTTTAGCTTTGCTCCTATTTTCTCAGTAAAACCATCAAATTTGACTTTACTGAGGTGAATGAAATGTTGGAGCTTTTTCTCACTGAACCTCAGTTTGACCTCAATGTTTTCAGTCCTAAACATGCTCTCACTTTATTCTTATCTGATAGCAACTCAAAGGGAAGCAGTTCTGACTATCAGAACAGTGATGCCATTACATTACTTTAGCTACAGCTTCTCATTCGGAGCAGGTAAAGGAAGAGACAATTTTCTATAACATGTTTTTGCTGGATCATTTAAATAATGACCGAAGCAAACTGTGTTTATGGATACTTTTTAGTAGTTTCAGCTTGTGTTTGAATTTTAAATTTAAAGTGCTACATAGGATGACTTTAAAGGGTGGGTTGTACAGCCATGTTATTAATAATGTAGCCTCCGCTTTTCCGGTTCGCGCCTCACTTTTTTTTTACAGTAGCGGCCCCAAATGATCTAATACATGGATTTTCTGCTTCCTGATCATGTGACGTATGCGAAGATCGGCTTTAGAGCTGTTTGTTCTCATGGTGCGGGGGCTCGTTCCAATGCCCACACAGTAAAAACATGCAAATGACGACTTAAGTCAATGGCAGTAAATGAGTTAACATTCAGCAAGTTAGAAAGGTTGATGAATGTGTGCGTCTGTTTTAGCCTGGTGTGCCAGACTCGTCCTCTTGTCTGTTCTACAGAGGACGAGTCGGGATACTCGGAGGCAGACAGCACCATGAGGGGTGGGACTCGCCAGCTCAAAAATAACCAATCACCAAAAAAAAAGCGAGTGACGATTGTAATTTATTACCTGTAGGCAAAGATGGCATCTAGTGACAGTGCAAACATCTTTTTTTTTAAACAAAGGCTTTTTAGCACTTCATGTTGAGGTTTTAAAGACATGTCCAAGTCATTTCGAACAAAGCCAAAGCAAACTCCGTTTCAGAAGCCATCTTTGTTTTATGAGAAACTGAGTGTGCGTGACGTACGCTGCTCAGCACTGATTGGCTCAGTCGGTGGAGTTATTTCAATAGGAATGCTACCAGGTCCTTTGCTTTCCATGAGAAAGCATTGGCATGGCTGTCCATGCTACATTTGTTATACAACAGTTACACTGAACTTCTGCGCCATTATAATTGCAAGTGTTTTATCATATATATCAGGGGCGTCAAACATGCGGCCCGCGGGCCGGATCCGGCCCGCAAGCGGGTTAAATCCGGCCCACAAAATGGTTGTGTTAACTTTATTTTCATACTTTACAATGTAGAGTGAAAATAAACTTATCATTGTGAGCAAGTTTTCTCTGTAATGAGTATAAATAAAACAAAGCTGCGCTCAAGGCTCACACAAGAACTTGAATCACATCCTGAAGTTGGCTGCCACTCAGGATGTGACTTCTGATATTGATGTGCTGGTGAAAGCTAAAAGGTGTTAAGTAAAATGAGTCAAATATACTTAAAGTGCTGCATGAAACAGATCTAGCCATGTGATCTGTAACTCTTTGAATCACTAAGGAATGTTTTTTTATTTATTGATTTTTTAGTTTTTTCAAATTTTCAAGTACACTTCAGGAGTTGTACTTGTACTATTTTGGATACACTGTCCTCAGGCTCCAGCCTTGTTTTATATTGATTGTATTAAAACAATCTGAAGTTGTTTTAAATTTACCGGTTCGGCCCACTTGGGACTAGATTTCGCGCAATGTGGCCCCTGAGCTAAAATGAGTTTGACACTCCTGATATATATGAATGCAGAAGCAAATGGGTAGTGTTTCCTGGCTTTGACCAAAAGTTTGTCTGCATCACTTTAAAATCTATAAAATCACACCAGACTGGTTGTCCCTCCAAATTAACCAGTATTAATACTTTTGTTCTTTCAGAGCTGCAAAGGAGGCCAAAAAGGCAAAGCAGGCCGCCAAGAAGCCTGCTGCTCCAAGTGCAAAGGTAGGATCTGCCGTTTAATTCTGTGGATGTAAATCTATGATCCCTGATGCTTAATTCAGCTTTTAGATGTTCTCTATAGTTGAATTGTACTTCAGTGCTTTCATTGTTTATTTTATTGTGCTGCATTAATGTGTTACTCTCTCATAGACCTCTGCAAAGACTGCACAGAAACCCAAGATCGCCAAGCCCATGAAGGTCAGCGCTCCCCGCGTTGGTGGAAAACGCTAAACCAACTCCTTGTTTATGCTTGTGAATAAAAAGTGGTTGAACCTCATTTGTATTGTTCATTCTGTAAGATGAGCCGTCTGAAATGGGAATGTTGGCTCTTAAGTGTTCAGTATGAGATGCAAAGTTTATTTTAGAAATGACCTCATTTTTAGAATGTTTAAATTCACAAACTTTCATGTGTAAAAAGTTAAAGCTCTGATGTTAAGGTGTTGGACAATCTTTATTACCAACACAGTTCAGTTAATGATCAAGGCTCAGTCGTTTACTTTTGAACAGTCTGCTGAATAATTAAACAATTAATGCTAAATTATGGGGATTATACATAAATACCAAAATTATTGTGTCAATTTTACACAAAAATAACTTAAAGGGCAGCAATATGTTAGAATAAGTACCAATGTTTACTCACGGACTTGCTGCAATGAGGGAGCTGCAGTTTCACAATTTAAGTATAAACATTTGTTCTCAGATAAAATTAAAAAAAAAAGCTATTAAAACGGAAGGATACATGATAATCAATGATAATTTGACTGCTGAGGTACAGTTGTCTGGACTCCAAAAAAAATATGTGATGAAATTCTTACTAAATTGATTATTTCATTTCCTAAACCACATCCTACATAGATCTAGATGCTATGATTTTTATCCTCTGGGAAACACCTGCCTGCGGTAGTTTACTACACCTGAAGAACAACGTTTGAAAAAGCAACTTTTCCCAGCTAGCTAATGAGACACAAATCATGACGTTAAGTCAGACGCTGTACAATCATAAAACTTGATGAGCAAGTAGAACTTGTGCGTTGATGATCACCATTCTTAATTAGTTTAAGAAAAAATGTTCTCTTTGTTAACGCCCTGAGGAAATGTGGTACTTAGGGGAAAGTGCATATTTCCTGCAGGGATATGAGGCTTGATGCGGTGGAAGGTGGTTATGGTGAGGAAGTTATGGAGACAACGTGGGATGGAGAAGGATGATGGTGATTATGTGAGAGTCTCCAAGTGAGTCATTAGTAACGTAGCAGGATGACGATCCTCAGGAGGTCTGAGCAGCTTCTTTAGCCTGTGCCTTCTTATCTTGCTCATGCCTGTTAGGAAAATAAAGATAAAAATCAGACAAACATGATCCCTCTTCAGTGCAGAGATGATTCTTTTGTAGTCTTGGGTTTTGTTTTTTAAATCCAGGCCAGGTGACATTCTTTTGTTAGCAAGCACCTTTATTTTTTACTTCCTTTTTTTCTCAAGTTTCTGATCCTATTTTTTCCAAACAAATACAAACCTTAAAAAAGAACAGAATGTTCTAAGTGAATTATAATTTTATTTACTAAAAAGTAATTTATTATTTTCACATCCATGTTTATAACTTCTTATAATCTTTGGAGTGTAACAAGCTTTAAACACAGACTTTTAGAGTTAAACATTTATTTGAGCTACACGACACTGTCAAAAATTAACCTAATTGTTTTATAAATCTGGTGTTATCAAGAACATTTATTAACAGAAAGCTACTGGGCAGCTGCAATTTCACAAACACACCTCCAGATCCTGTACAGCTGAGAAATTCCCGCGCCACCGACGAAGAAATTAACAGCAAAAAGGTTCCAGTTCTTCGGGATTATAACCAGAGAATATCTGGACCAGATGAGCCCTGAAGGAGGAGGACAGGGGGTTTGTGCAAAGTGATGAAAATCCCTCATTATCTATTAGAACAGGGTGCATGTTTTGGCAAGAGAGTAACAGATAAGATTTGTTTGAAGTAACAGATACTGCAAAAAAGATGCAAAAGGCAACCTTTGGCACACATCAGTGGAATGATCTCTGAGCTCAGAACAGTAAACCAACAGAGGGAAGTTTTTGTTGTGTGCACAATTCATGCAGATGTGTTGGTCTGAAATTTCTGATCAATTCTACAATAATCCTTTAGTATCCAGTCTCACCAGTGGCTGTCAGCACTCCAGACTGGGAGGTACTGAGTTTGTCTGCTGGTCGAGTCATGTCAGCTAAACCGGCAAGAACCAGACCCTAAAAAGAAGAAAATGGACAGTTTTTAATCAGAAAAACATTTAACTCATAATACCTTGCTTAAAATGCAATTTTTGTCTTTAAGGCATTTTTTGTACTTAATTTGTTTTAATTTTTACTATTTTAACCCTAAAATATTTAGCCTTTTGGTCATTAACCCTCTGGAGGCAGGCGTTGCAGATTTGCATCAGTTAGAACCTACCTACCTGGTTACTCCACATACGTATTTCGTGAGCATTTTTTAACTCAGAACTGAAGTACCCCTGAAGGACTTAGCTGTTCATCCTTTGATCAAAACTTGTTTTGAGCCTGAGAGGGTTAAACCTAATTATACTTTATGCATTACTGATTAGATGCTAACAAGATGAAGATAAATGAAAGCTGTGATGACGAGGTTAAATAGATCAAACTTTAATTCTGTCAGAAAATCGCAAAGGTTAGAAAACAACATGTGTTGGTTTATGTACACACGTTAAACTGTGTGAAAGTGCATTTACCCATTTAAACATCGGAGCCCAGAAGAAAACTGTTTTTGGACCTGGAATTACAAAAGACACACACACACACACGAGATTTAGAAGATTTAAAAAATGTATCATTTAAATTTGAGTCATTCACTTTACAGCTGAGGTAATGGAAATGTGACGATACTCATTTAGGTTTTAATCTTATTTAAATATAGTGTAACTAAAAACATACAAATATTTTTTATGTCAACTGTTCCACTCTGTATGTCAAACATCAACATGAGGAGTAGTGTCAGAACTACAGGAACTAAAGTCATCATGACAAACTAAAATAACAAATAAAGCTCTTGATCACAAAACTAAACCTTCAGATGCCAATTCATAGTAAAAAAAAGCATTTTCAATAATGCTTAAAACTACGTTTTGTGTCCTCTTTTCACTACTTTTTAATGAATTGATCCCTAATAACTTTAATAAACTTAATATATTGATTTGGTAAACTCGAGTCTGAACTTTGTTTTGTTTTAAAGCAACCGAATCCTATATGTATAAATATCTGGAAACACTCTTCAGTTTATCCTGGGCTAAAAAAAGAAAAACGTAGGACGCCGTTGCTGCAAATCGCTATCCAGGGAGTTGGCTTTTGTTTCCGCCCCTTCATACCTGTTCAGGAACACGTCCTTGACTTAATGAGCTTCTCGGAAAAAAAAGAACAAGGTTTGCACATTGCTGGATTTACTTTATTCTCACTTATTCTAATGAATGCAAGGATCCATGCTGGATATATTAGGTTAAAGGAGTGTTAAGCGAAGCTTATTCTTATATTTTGTGGGTTTCTGTCAAGAATAAAAGTCATTCTTTTATTGGCAAATGTTGCTACTATATTATTGTCATTCATAGAAACTAGACTGGAAATATGAACTTTTATAAATATAGAGTAAAGTTAAGATTTTAATGCTCTGAGTGTAGAGGTCAATGTGCTTTGGTATTTCACAATTCTTTCACAAAGGCAAAGGTTTTGTTGTAAATGTGTAATAATTTTCCAGTTTCAGATTAGCCAAAAACATCAAACAATTGCTTATGTACTTCTTTTGATACTTTGAAATTATTTATATTTGTTTAATAGACAAACTAAAGCATTTAAAAGGGTAATCTTATTTTCAATTAAAGTCAAATAAAATAGAAAACTAAATGTATCTGGTTAGGGTCCAACATTAATAACTTTGATAAAGATCTATAAGCTCATCTGTTTTTACTGATCTTAGTAAAGATATGGTCAGCACTGATAACTGACTCATTTGTGTCACTAGTATTTACACATGTGGGAAAAAAAACATTAGCATTAATAGTTGAGTTTGTTGAGAGGCTAAAACTTGTAAACAGGCAGGTCTCAGCACCACACAAAATAGACTTAACAGGCTTTAAAGTAGAACGCAAAAAAAAAAAATTCCTTCAAATATATAAATTCTTTGCAGCCTAAGAGGCTTAGATGGGCTTGGGGCAGACTTAGATCTGCTAGAGCGACATGAAAACATTGACTTTAAGTTCAGGCATCCAGACAACAGCTGCCTTTTATCTTCTCTGCAGGATGCTGTATACAAACAAAACATAAATTCCACCACAGCGGGATAACCCAAAAATTGGCTAAAGAAATCAAGAGTACATAGTGTACTTTACCTGCCGGGTGGTTGTACAAAGGTCTCAGTTTGGCGGGCAGCATATGCTCGATGCTGTCCAAAATCCTACGGTAGGACGCTCTGAGCGCAGCCATGATTGGAGATATTCAGGTACGAAAGAAGCGACTAAAGAAGCTAGCTAGCTAGCTAACTGGTAAATTCGGATGGTGTTTGCTTTGGCAGCCACAGAACTATATTACTTGGTCGTCTGTAAATAACGGGAGAGTTTTGCGTTAGTAGGACGCTACTGCCCTACTATCGACCTTCCACGGGAAAAACTAACACCGGCTAGCTGACACGACGAGGTGACTTTCCGTTTGACACAACCTTCCGTCTGAGGCGGGGTTACATGATCATCTCTTGGTTCCCACTGGCTCTGACAGTGAGAGCCTCAATGTGATTGGTTTATATGGGGTTGTTAGGTTTTTATTTGTTCCATCGAGTAGGTAACAAGGCGGTGGAAACTTCAGGTTCCTGTGGGCAAACTTAATAATCGATTGCAAAACAATTATACTTTTGTTTTATAACATTTTATTGCGCATACACTGCACACAAAAATGTGTGAATTAAGAAATTTGTTATGTTGGAGAAAAACATTTTCTTAGATATTATTATAACTAAGATATTTGGTACCATCCAAAAGTTTTGAATTTGTCATGTTAATAAAGTTACACTTCATACATACATTACATACTTAAAAAAATAATTAATTGCACCAAAAGCTATCCAACTTTCCAACTTTTCTGTTCATCCCCCGCCCCATTTTCCACCAAGCTTTTCAAAACAAACGCACCTGACTTCAACGTCAAGCCTCGCAGTTTCTCGCGTTATTTCGACACAGCTGACGGCTGCCAGCAGAAAGAAATAAACCAGGCTAGGCTAGAAAGACAGATAGTAGCCTGGAGAGCGGAGACACAGTCGGGGTAGGGGTGGACTCGGACGGTGGAGACCTGACAGGAGCATATATTTCTTTCCCAACAATGCTGAATACCAGCTAGCACCGTCCCGACAGAAAGGGACTTAATTGGACTAAAAACCCCACAGCAGATAAAAGACAACATCGTCAAGAGGAGGGTTAGCTCAGCTTAAATGTTATTGTCAATTCAAAATAAAGCTATTTGGTTACAATGTCCTACACTGGAAACCTGGTTTGGGATGTTAACAAACGTCTAATTGGATACACTGAGCCTAACACCATCAGGACCAACTACTTGGGTAAGAGAAAAACAACACATTGTTATGCTAGCCCTGATATGTGAACGTTAATTGAAGTTGGAGCGTCTGCAGGCTGTTTTTCTCTGCAGCTGAAGTGGAAGTGAGACTACTTCTGGCATGGATCCTCTTCCTGTGTAAACCCGGTTTATCTCGATTAAAGAGAAGCTGTGCTTTTTACAAATAACTCTTCAGATTAGGATTTATGTTTAATCCGCAACACATTATCAACTCTGTCAGGCTGGAGATCACATTTGTTATTTAGCCAGAGGCTGCTGCGCAAATGCATTTTCAGTGTTGTTACAGGACTGTTAGATTAATCATCTGTAAATTTACTCCGTAATACAGAAATGACTACTAATGTAATCAAAATAGGAATACGTAATTTTACTGTTTGAATAATTTACCAAGTTATTTTAGTTTACTAAAAATGTTGAAATTGCACTAAAATTATTACCCTCAGAAAAAAATGTGACAACCAGTTATTCTGGGTTATTTTTCATTGAATTAAAAGAGGTGGAAAAGCCAGACTTGGGGTGTCAGGGTGGATTATTACTTTTTCAAGACCCAACATTTTATGTTGTTATTTCAAATGAATCAATTGGCAACATATTGTAACCTAACTGGAGGGTAAAATAGACACAATCTTGATTTATGTTGTTGGAGACAGCCTCAAACAAAAACAAATTTGTGAGTTTTTGCAGTATTCTAAACTTTTCTTGACTTTTTCATGGTCATCTTTTTTGTTCCAGAAAATTGTAAATGTACAAAATTCCAAATATCATAATTAATATACATTTTAAAACTGAATAAGACAGGATCTCAGTTTCTGTTTGGTCACATGCCTATTATTCAGTTACAAAAGCACAAACAGCATTGATAATCAATTTTACTTCTGGATTAAAAGTGTTTGTCCACTCTATTCAGTGTCTTTGCAAACAAAATCAAACCAGAAATACTGCTCTTGTGCTCCACCTGTTAAAAACCTGCCACAAATTCATTTGTCCTGAACATTTTCAGCCAACAGCAGTGAAGCTAAAAAGTTTCACTGCCATCATTTCCTCTGTGTGTCAATGCATCAGCTATGATTGATCGATGGAGATGAAACAAACAGAAGCGGCGTAAACAGTTGGACACAGCTGCTGTAAGACAGTAGTCGATTAGGCAGACTTGTGTCCAACAGTCGAAGCCTCGCAGCGGTTGAATGAGGAGATATGAGCCCACCGAGGTGGAGCTGGTGCCTCAGAGGTTTAGTCAGAGCTGTTTTTAGCCTGGCTGAGATAAAGTCAGAGCTGTGTTTGTGTTCAGGGATGTGTGGGCCACAGCTCTTATCAGTTATATTTAGTGTTAAGAACCATTAGAGGTTATAATTTGGGGTACAGCAGCATGAGATGAAACAGAGATTCTGTCTAATGCTTGATAAGGTGGATTCATTTAATGGATTTCAGCTTTTTTATTATCTTTAGGACTTTGAACTGACAGTTGGACTAAAATGTTGCAAGTTTAGACAGAATAATTTATTTATTTATTTGTTTTTACAAATGTCTGGCTGTGAGTTGTCTCAGTCGTTAGATAAATAAAAATCTTTAAAAGTAGCTATGAAACAAAATCTTATCTGTCATTATGCACAGTTAAAAGTTTCTTCTAAATATTTGTAATGGAAATAATTTATGAAAGGTTTTTTTAATGTTACATATATAAAAAAGAGAATATTTAAAACTTAAAATCTTCACTTTTATTTTAAAATATTTTTGTAAATTTTTGTAAACTCTGTAAAGTGTGGATTTGGTTTAACTGAGCTCTTTAAACCAACACATGTTTATAGGATCCAGTAATATTGACAGAAATAGGAGTAAAAATCTACATATTTAAGGATTTAACACATATAATTGCGGATCTTTTTTTATGAACAGCAGATAGACGTTTGCACTAAATGCAGACGGATGATTCACTGTGGAGACTCTCTGGAAGGGAGAAGCCGAAAGAGAAAAGAGATCAGTGAAAACAGTTTTTTTAATTTAGGTCTCAAAAATCGAATCTGATATTTTCAACAATGGAGCAAAAGCGATCATAATAATATCATATTTAGTAATTAACACTTTCATAAACATTGTGACCATAAAGTGATTATGCAAGAACTGAAATAAAGCTATTCTTTTCCTCCCACAGCTCTGCAGCAGTAAAACCTGTAGCTGCAGGTTGTCGCTCTCATTTTAATAAACAGCAGCTGCAAAATCTCAGCTCATGTATTCAAAGCAGAAATGCAACTTTCTCTATATTTGAAGGAATCACATTCAGACTGGGAAAGATTTAGTCTTCTGCAGTTTTCCATAAATTGAATTTAATAATATTTAATAAGTGTTCTTTTTGCATTCATGCTAGCTAACTAACCTGTGCTGCTCATTTTGCTGCCCTTTATAATATTATTTATTCTGTTCTTTACTAATTTTTTGCAGCCGTAACATTTTCTTTCTGCCGCTTTAATTTGTGGATCGATGTGTTTCTCAGAAATAATTTATGTTTTAGCTTACATGCAAAGCTTTTATCGACTACTTTTAAGTCTTTTAAAATGTTTGAGTTCCTTTATTTTTATTTTCTTTCGGTTGAACTAAAATTTAAAACAGTAAAAAGCCCAAACGGTCTGGCTCACTTGGTGTTCCTGTAGAAATATTTTCCTGAGTACTAATAATAAACATATCCCATAATTCTACACTCGTAGCTTGACTAAAGTGGATGTTTTAATGTGTGTTCTTGTCTTTTTCCAGGTAGAAGAGAGTTTGTTCAAAGGCTAAAACTTGAATCGACTCTGAACGTGCACGATGGCTGTGTAAGCATTTACAATTGGTTTATTTTAGTGTTTTTCCTGTAGAGAGAAGCTCAACAGTTTGTTTTCCCCTCCGGAGTTTTGTGAAGTCTAGCAGATCTTGTGTCTAAAGTCTTGACTGCAGGTCAGGTGGTCGATGCTCCTGAGAAACCTGAAGCTGACAGATCAGTCACACATCTTGTCACGCTATCAGTGTCTGTCCGTCCAGAACACGTCAACAAACACGACACGCCAGCGAGGCTCGAGAGAGCTGCTCTTTAGATCCTGGCTGACGTTAACCAGAACTGCCGCTTTAAAATGTTGTTAACAGATTTTCTGGCTAAATAATGTCTCGACTGATAGAGAAAATCTGCATGAATGATAAGAACTTGGACTCAGATCCAACTGAAACAAGTTAATTTGTATTGTTTCTCTTCAGCTTTTCTTCAGGATCAGTGAAACACAACATGTCACTTGCAGCAGCTCATTTTAGCCCCAATTAACCTTAAAATGTGTCAATTACCTTTGAGAGCTCTGGTTGTTCTGAAATATTCTTCTGAAAATGAAAGGAGATATCACATTTTTAGAGTCTGCATCACTCAGTTGAACAATCTGACTCAGATTTTAAGGTGCTGTAGGATCCAAATATAGAGGAATGAATGTTATTTTTTACATAAAAGTAGAGTTTGCTGTAGCCACCATGTTCATCACTTTTTATCATTTGTGAGGCAATTGAACAAACATGGTCAATCATTAGAATAATGCAACTTACAGTAGGTAAAGAAAGTATTCAGACCCCCGTCAATTTTTCACTTTTTATGATTTGCAGCCATTTGCTAAAATCAACTAAATTCATTTTTTCCTCATTAATACACACAACACCCAATATTGACATAAAACAAGACTTTTAGAAATTTATGCAGATTTATTAAAAAGAGAAAAGCTGAAATATCACATGGTTCTAAGTATTTAGATCCTTTGCTCAGTATTTAGTAGAAGCACCCTTTGAGCTAATGCAGCCACGAGTCTCCTTGGTAAAGATGCAACACGTTTCTTGCCTGGATTTGGGGATCCTCTGACATTCCTCCTTGCAGATCCTCTCCAGTTCTCTCAGGTTGGATGGTGACAGTCATTTTAGGTCTCTCCAGAGATGCTCACTGGGTTTAAATCGGGGCTCTGGCTGGGACACTCCTTCGTTATTTTAGCTGTGTGTTTAGGGTCATTGTCATGTTAGAAGGTAAACCTTCGGCCCAGTCTGAGGTCCTGAGCACTCTGGAGAAGGTTCTTGTCCAGAATATCCCTGCACTTGTCCGCATTCATCATTCCCTCAATTGCAACCAGTCATCCTGTACCTGCAGCTGAAAAACACCACAGCATGATACTGCCACAGCCATGCTTTACTGTGGGGACTGTATTGGACAAGTGATGAGCGGTGCCTGGTTTTCTCCACACATGCCACTTAGAATTCAGGCCCGAAAGGTCTATCTTGGTCTCCTCAGACCAGAGAATCTTATTTCTCACCATCTCGGGGTCATTCAGGTGTCTTTTAGCAAAGTCCATGCAGGCTTTCATATGTCTTGCACTGAGGAGAGGCTTTTGATGGGCCACTCTGCCATAAAGCGCTGACTGGTGGAGGATTGCAGTAATGGTTGACTTTCTATAACTTTCTCTCATCTTGTGACTGCATCTCTGGAGCTCAGCGACAGTGGTCTTTGGGTTCTTCTTTACCTCTCTCACGAAGGCTCTTATCCTCTGTTAGCTCAGTTTGGCCAGATGGCCTTCTCTAGGAAGGGTTCTGTTGTCCCAAACATCTTCCATTTACAGATTATGGAGGCCACTGTGCTTTTAGGAACCTTAAATGCAGCAGAGATGTTTTTGTAACCTTGGCCAGATCTGTGCCTTGCCACAATTCTGTCTCTGAGCTCTTCAAAACTTATGGTTCTCATTTGCTCTGACATCCATCGTGAGCTGTAAGGTCTTATATAGACAGGTGTGTGGCTTTCCTAATCACGTCCAATCAGTAGAATCAAACACAGCTGGAGTCCAATGAAGGTGCAGGACCATCTCAATGATGATCATAAGAAATGGAAATCACCTGAGTTAAATATACGAGGGTCACACGAAAGGGTCTGAATACTTACAATGTGATGGTTCAATTAGTCTTTTTTTTAATAACTCTGCATACATTTGTAAAATAATGTGTTTTTCTGTCAATATGGGGTGCTGTGTGTACGTTAATGAGGAAAAAATGAATGTAGTTGATTTTAGCAAATGGCGGCAATATAACAAAGAGTAAAATATTGACAGGGCTCTGAATACTTTCCGTACCAACTGTATTAGAGAATCCAGTGGTGTTGATTTATCAGTGTGAAAATTTAATGGTATGAGTAAACAATCACATTATTTCTCATCTGAATCAAATGAAGCTTTCATTTGATTAGAGTAAGAGAGATAGATCTGAACTCTATTGCAGTTCCCTGAGTTGATTCAGTTTTCCAAGCTACACCCTGAGCAGCCAGCCAGCCTGTGAGGATGAGACAGAACAATATCGACCCACAGAGTAAAAGCTGTTCTATTGCTGACTTTGACCAGGAATCTCATTTAAATTAATGCCAATGAAATTACATTAAATTTTGTGGTGGGAGGTTGTGTGTCTAGATCCAGTGTTTGTGTCGCATCCCCTCAGGTCAACACGATATCCTGGAACGAGACGGGTGAATACATCTTGTCAGGGTCAGACGACACCTTCCTGGTCATCACAAACCCGTACAACAAAAAGGTATGAAGGCGTTTGTGAGTTGGCAATATTCACTACACCTGCTTTCTCCCAACACAACTTATTCATTTGTTGTTCGGTTTCCACCTGGGGCATTTAATCAGCTTCTGTTAATGTACTTTTAATAAATATCTATTAAAATAACTTTAAAAAGATAAAATTGCTCATAAAAATACACACAATACAGTGATTTTAAAATGTGTTTATGGAATATGTTGTTAAAATTAAAGTTTTGAAATGCTCTTTACATTTGTTAAGAGTCATAGAAGAACTTTTTTTAAGTCAGGAAACTGTTCTTTGAGTTTCTCTATAGCACATGAAACTTTGTTGAGGCTCTCAATGACCCAGGAGCCCTGAAAAGGCCAAATATAACCCCATAATAAAGCCCTACAACACCCTGCTTCAGCACACTTGATTTCAATTAGTAGGTGATTAGCAAGCTTCTGCTGAGCCTGATGTGCTGCAGCACAGGTGATTCAACTACTGAAGCTAGTGTGTTGGGCTAGATAAACCACTAAAACGTGTTGGATACCGGCACTCGAGGCACGGAACTGAATAGCTCTGCCCTACAATGGAAAGACTGGTTTTCTTTGCCCACTTGGCCACAGTATGAGTATTAAATGAGCTGTGTGCTGATTGGCCAGTGTATATTGATGTCTCTATGATTCTAGAACCTCTGTACAGCTGTATTTAGCATCCAGATTACTCCGTAGGTTCTACTGAGTATGGAGCTATCTGGCATTCATTCAAAGTCTGGATGTTCCCAGTACAGCTCAGAATGTTACACTAGTGCCCCAACTTTCCTCTTTGCTGTTTTTCTCTCATCCAACATGGCTGTTAGCAGTAGCTTTGGCTGGCCTTGTGTTGCAGTCAGCATTACCATGACAAATGTCTACATGCAGCTAATGTTGAAGTGGGTTGGGACTTGCAAATATAAGGGGCGTGTCTAAGCTTATGATGTGTGAAACCAGCTTTTCTCAGAACAAACTGTTTCTTGGTGGCCATTACATTATTGCTAATTTACATAAGAAAGTTGGTCAGACTTTTTGGTACATTTGAAACCTCAAACTGCCTTTATTCAACGGTAACATGGTATATGTGGTTTAAAATTCTAGGATCCATGAGAACATCTGGTCTAGGGTCAGCCAAAAGTTAAGGTGTCTGAGGCTTTGTGAGGAAACTGTAAAACTATCTGAATGGAAGCTTTAAATGAAACAGAAGAACTCAAATCCTATTTGTGATTTTGCACAAAACTCACAGCTGTTGTGTGTTTCTGCTCCTCCTCCTCAGGTCAAGAAGTCCATACGCTCTGGTCACCGGGCAAACATCTTCAGTGCAAAGTTCATGCCTCACACGAACGATCAGGAAATCATCTCCTGCTCCGGAGACGGCATCATCTTCTACACCCACACGGAGAAGAGCCCAGACTTCAACAGACAGTGTCAGTTCACCTGCCACTACGGGACGGCGTATGAGGTGCAGAACGGTGCCTCTACTTTAGCAGTAAAGCCTTTTTATTGGTTAATGTTCTGTCTTTGTTCCTGTTGTGTCAGATTATGACCGTACCAAATGACCCCTACACATTCCTGTCGTGTGGGGAGGACGGCACGGTGCGGTGGTTCGACCTGCGCACAAAAACCAGCTGCACTAAAGTAGACTGCAAAGATGTACGTGACACATGAGTTTTTTTTTTATTCAAACCCTGATTGTATCATTGTGATTTTCACAAGAAATCTACAAGTTTAAGCAAAATAACAGCAAGAAGATCTCCTTATGGCCTCTGCTTTCTGTCCCTTGAGCTGCTTGACAAACAGTTTTCTTGGTTTGAGTCCAGGATAATTTGGATGTCTTCTCCTATTTCCTTCTTTGTACCAGAACCTGTGACCTTAAAGCTGTTAGAATCATTTTTCCAGACGGTGTCACTGGCCCTTCTTAACCCTGAAGCTGTTGATGCTCCTCCATATGTGACAAAATAAAGAAAAAGAGTGACACAGCAGGCCACCAGAACGGCTACGATGCTGTTGGGGGTTAGTACGATAAGGTTCAGATTAGCTCTGATGGAGGAGTTCCTCTCTTTAGCAGTGAAATTGCTCTGGGTTCTTTGCTGTCTTATCCTAAAATTGACCCCAAAGGAAAATAACCAGATTGAGAATTTATGTAATTTTAGTTATTGATGTCCAAACCTTCCAAAAAAGTGTCCAGTGAACAAGAAATACGTTTTTCCTAAAGAATGCCCTATTTGGATTCAACATAGGGTCCAGGGGTTCAAGTGCAATTCTCTCATTATGGAGCTTCACCTATTACACACAAGAGTTCAACTTTCTTTAACATTTTGTATAAATCTTAATATGTTTGTGTTTAAACTTCAGCTTTGCTGCGTTTTCCGTGTTCCCAGGACATCCTGATCAACTGCACACGAGCAGCCACCTCCATATCCATCTCTCCTCTGGTGCCGTACTACCTGGCTGTGGGTTGCTCCGACAGCTCGGTGCGGATCTACGACAGACGTATGCTGGGCACCAGAGCCACAGGTGACATGTTTTTACTGAATATTCATGTTGATGAGGATGATTTACTCTGCATCAGCCAGTGGGGGGGGTGGGGGTGGGGGGGATGAGGGGGTTTCCTGTCCCGCTAAGTTGTTTCCCTCTGAGGGATCAGTCTAATATTAGATGCATTCATCCATGTTTTGACTTTATAATTGGTTTCCATCCTCCAAACACAAAAATATAAAGCAAAAAAGCAACAATTTGCTTATATTGTCATTCTCAGGTAATTACACGGGGCGGGGGACGACGGGCATGTGTGGTCGGTTTGTCCCCACCCACCTTTCCAACAAGTCCTGCAGGGTGACATCTCTCTGCTACAGCGAGGACGGTCAGGAGGTGCTGGTCAGCTACTCCTCCGATTATATTTACCTGTTCAACCCCAAAGACGACCAGGCCCGGGAGCTCAAGGGCCCGTCCGAGGAGAGGAGGGAGGAGGTGAGACCACTCAGGGATCCACTAGTGGGATCATAGTAGCCCTTTTCATCATCTTCCTCTAGAATTTTCCATTAACCCCCCTACTCTGTTAATGCACTTCCTGCAATAATGGAAACTCACCCGTAGGCAGACTTCAGTGAATTGTTGTTGGCTGTCAGCTGATCTGATCTGTAATGAGTTTGGAGGAAGAAACTGTAGCTTTAATGCTCTTTTTGTTATGAGAACTCTCCTATTTTAGCTTTCTGAGTTGCTGATTGGTTGCAGCGAGAGGAGACAATGTCTGTTAAAAAACAAGCAACAGGATGGATGAGAGACTAAATAAAAATCTGATTCATGGTTTTATTGTGAATTTATGTAGCTGAAAAATGAGCAATCAGGAGTTGTCTGAACGCGCAGGATCACACACACACGCACACACATTCCTTTCCAAATACAGCGACTAATGCAGGCGGCGTTCCTGTCCACTTAAATAGGTTCAGTGGAGGTGTGTAGGCGACGGGGTTTGGGGGAGTCAAAATAAAATCTTATCACCTGCTTAAACTGCCCCCCTTCTTCACCTCTGACCTCATTTGTTCTTTTTCTTTCTCATTTATTCTCTATATCTTCTGCTTTTCACCACTTGCTCAGACCTGTTGACATTTCCTGTGTCACACTCCCCCTCGACCTTGTTTTTCTAATTCTGGCTTCCAGCTGCGTCATGCTGCTGAGACAGCCATGGGACTGGAAAGAGGAGGCACCCTCCATGGGGTGGGGGGCTTAAGAGAGGACACTGACAGAGAGGATCAGTCTTTTGCTTTGGTAGCGAAGTTATTTTTGACCATCTTTTGACTGACAAACTGTGTGTGTGTGTGTGTGTGTGTGTGTGTGTGTGTGTGTGTGTGTGTGTGTGTGTGCGCGCGCGTGTGTGTGTGTGTGTGTGTGTGCGTGCCTCTGCAGCTGAGGCAGCCTCCAGTGAAGCGCCTCCGTCTTCGGGGTGACTGGTCAGACACCGGACCCCGAGCTCGACCCGAGAGCGAAAGGGAAAGAGATGGTAAGATCCCAGAATGCCCCGCTACTCGTTCAAAGCAGAGCTCAAGTTTCAGGTCCGACCTGAGGGAACATTTCAGACATTCAGGCCTTCCAAACAGTCAGACGTTTTATTTACCACATTTATTTTGTGATCAGTAAAACCAGAATGTTGGTATACCTGGGGAACAAGGCCTCTTTAAATACAAAATTACAGAAGAAATGCAGCTAAAGTTTAAGTTAAAGGTGGGAGGAGTCATATTTTTTACTTAAAAATCTGGGCTTCTTTTTTGTGTTTGTATCTTAAAATAATTTTAACCCCCTTCTTTATTTTAGGTGAACAGAGTCCAAACTTGTCTCTGATGCAGAGAATGTCGGACATATTGTCCCGGTGGTTTGAGGAGGCTAGTGAAGCTCAGAGCAGCAGAGGAACCCGACCTCAGACTCGACCCAGAGGTAAAACTGCTCCTTAATGTGTTTTCAGGATTTATTCGTTTGTAATAATGTGTTAATGTTTTGTAATCAGGGTCAGCTGTTCGTCCAGAGGGGCCTGCTCCACCAGGGGTGTCCAGCCCGGAGTTGAGCGCTCCTGAGAGGCCCGTGGGGACAGGGTCCCCCGAGGTACCTGGCAGTGCTACAGCCACCACTGCCATCTCTAAATCCACCTTCCCTTCCTCATCAAGGTCATCTTCAGCTGTCCCGGCTCCTCCTACTTCCAGCTCCTTAGTAGATACTTCAGCTCCTTCCTCCTCCTCCACTACTACCTCCACCCCCAATTCAGAGCAGAGGAGTCAGACTGACACCACCAGGACACCCACACCTACAGCCACACCTATTTCTGAACCGGCACTCTCAGGTAAGAACAAAAATGTTTTCTTTAAGAATTTATTTAAAACAAACAAAACCAAAATTCATCAACACTTTAATGATTAGATCATTTCAGGGTATCTTGGAGAGTGTGTGTGTGTGTGTGTGTGTGTGTGTGTGTGTGTGTGTGTGTGTGTGTGTGTGTGTGTGTGTTCACTTCACTCAAGCAGCAGCTGCACTCTACTGTCTTTTCCTCCAGCATCCTTGGTGTCCTCCTCCCTTTCTCACAACCTCCTCCCTCCTAATTGTTCATCCACTTTCCCTCTCTTCCTCTGCCTCTCTGTCAGAGTACGGTCAACATCGGCTGCCCATAAGTTTAGTGTGTAGGCGTTTGCAAAGGCTGCTACGGCTGGCCGACCCCCCGCGACAGGGTCAGCGAACGATCCCTTCCTCCTCCTCCTCCTCCTCTTCCTCTGCAGCCTCTGAGATACTGCCACAGAGAAGGGCTACCTCTGCTGCTGCTGATCTGCAGCCTACAGGTTACCTCCACCCCAAACCCCACCCTGCAAAAACTTTTCCATTCAGACCTCCTTCTGCCGCAGCTGGCACTAAAAAGACCTGAGCACTAACCTGATGCATCTTGAACCTTTTAAAGGTGTGGCTCACTGAAAAAAAAAACATTTTTTAATTATTTCTGAATTTAATCAGTCATTCTGAGTTCTTCATGCAGGCTGAACATGAAAATGGTCTTCTACACCTATCTCCTGCATCAGCTTCAGATAGGAAACATATGGTGAAACTGTAGGATTTGAAAATCCTGACAGATCTACATCACACTGTCACTTAACATTCATGGACTCACCCATCTTGACTTGTGACGGGGAAGGCTGTTGTTGCTTTAGCGTCCAGGAAACCGCAGAGAGCGTCTCTGCTAGTGGAAGCTAACTGCTAGCATTAGCAACTCCATCACATGGCAAAACACCTCCAGACTTGTGTTATTTGTGGAGATAAAACATCAGTGTTGCTAAGTAAATAGTCAGTTGCAGAGTTGCATTTCTGTTAGCCAGTCAGAGAAGAGATGTCCAAATATCAGGAAGTAAGACTCCAAATCTTACCATCTGAAGCTCACCTCTGATCTGGCAATCGTCTGCATTCTGAAAAGTGCACACCAGGGCTTTTTGTACCCAGAGTTCAACTTGAGTGGCATTAATTTCTACTAGAGAACACTGCAAATGTTTTGATTAAAAGAGTGAACCACACCTTTAACACCTCCAGCTTCCATGTTTGCTCCCCCCCAATCCATCGCTATACTTGTTTCTTGAGTTTTCACCTGCAGACTCACCTGTGGGAGTGGCATCAGCTGGTGTGAAGCTCTGTTCTGGTTCGTGTGGTTGTTCAGCCATGTTTGATGATGACAAACCGTTTGCTGCTTTGAACTGGCCATTTTCAGACACGAAATGTAAAACATCACTGACCAGTAAACCAAGCTCTAACGGTTGAATGTGGCGTCTTTTCTGAAGTGCTGCAAACCAGGCGGTCACTGATGGTTTAAAGAGGTTTTTAGGAATTCAAATAACAAATTTCTGGAATTATCGTTCATTGTTTTAGCATAAATCAGAATAAACGGACAAAAATGTTGCAGTCTTTATGGTCTAATGGAGGCGTGTTGGACTTTGGCTTAAAACTGTAAATAAAAAAATGTAGCCTCATGTTTTAATTTCCTAGCTGTTCTACTACAACGTCCTCGTATATTTTAAAACATAAAGGCTGTCATTTGAAGCATCATACTAGCTGGTAGGTTAGCTGCTGGCTAATTTACTCGAATTGTTAAGCTTTAGCTTGTTCAGCATTTTGTCTTTTGTTAGAGCTCACATCAGATTTCTAACATAATTTAATCCCAGTTTGCAGCATTTAGATTGAAGAGCATCAGACTTTAAAATTAAACTAATGCTCTTAGCATGTTTAACCAAATTTTATATAATATTTTTCAGATTTACTCATTTCTAACTCTCATTTTACATTTATAATGCCAAAGCTGCACCTAAACACACTGACTGTGGATTTATATGTTTTTTTTTTACGTGATTAAAAGTTTTAACCCTGAAGCTTTTCTGCTGTGGCGATCAGCTTAGTGTTCAGTGATGGCTCTTCTACGTGTTACAGATTCTCCTTCGTCTGTGGTGAATAAGCAGCTGGGGTCCATGACTCTGGACGAACAGCAGGGTGAGTCTAAGTCCCTCGTCTAACCCACCTCCTCAGAATTTGTTCTGTTTTCATCAGTGTTTTAATCCGATGAACCAGTTGTAACTATCTCTCGCATGTTGGTGCCAAAATGATGTTTACAGATACATTTAATTTAGTAAAATAAATGCAACCATCCACCAAGAAACACTTAATTTAATTATCTGAATGTGAAAATGTCCTGAAAAACTCATCAACACTGTAAATGTTTACAGATAAACACCTGAGAAACACCTGAGAAGTTGGAAATCTTATTTTTTGGGGGACTTTTCTTGTCTCTTCTGCTGAAAATAATCAACTTTATAAATTTACATTTTAATATGTGAATTATCTAAATATTTAGACACTTTAGTGAACAGTTTTCATGATAAATTAAGTTTTCCAGTTTAAATTGATCTGAGTAACATAATTAGTCTGTAAACAAATGTGGAAATGACTGTTATGCAATTCTATTCAGTTTATTTTTATAGCACCAAATTACGACAAGAGTCGTCTCAAGGCACTTCACAAATTAAATATTCCAGTACAGGTCAGTTCATTAAGCCAATCAGAAAAAAGTTTCCTATATAAGGAACCCAGCAGATTGCATCGAGTCACTTGAGTGTCAGTGACTTTACAGCAATCCTCATACTAAGCAAGCATTTAGCGACAGTGGAGAGGAAAACTCCCCTTTTAACAGGAGGAAACCTCCAGAGGCTCAGTATGAGCAGCCATCCACCACGACTCACTGAGGATTGAGAAGACAAATCAGACACACACACACACGCACGCACGCACACACACACACACACACACACACACACACACACACACCAATTGTGAGGAAAACCAATTGAGTCTAAGATATTACTGAAGGCTACATTGAGGCTATCACTTTCAATGTCAACATGAATGTTAAAATCCCCCACTACAATGACTTAATCAATATTTATCACCAAATCACATAAAAAATCAGAGATCTGATCCAAAAACTCAAGAGTAAGGGCCTGGTGGACGATACAAAACTACAAACAAGAATGGTTTTATGGTTTTGCACTCTGAATTAGGAAAACTACAAATAAGATGTTTAAAAGAACTGTAACTATTAATTGGTAAGGGATTGATTAATAGGCCTAAATGAAAAACGGTTGCTACTCGTCCTCCTCCTCCAATGGTCCCCCAAGGGGTGGCCATGGTCACCCCTAGAAATTTACTGAATACTAATGAATTAAATCATTAACTAACAGTCTTTGGAAAAAAATGTATTGTTCAATAAATACATTTAATTGTTCTAGTTTTCTGCTCAGTCAATTATTGTTCTAATTTTTATGAGATTTCCATGATTTTCTTTATCAAGCATTATTTTTAATCTGTTTAATTTTGGGTAGGACACTGTCTCAATGGGGTAGAGGGGTGTTTTTAACTACGACTCTGCTTCCTGGTCTGGACTCTGGGTTGTCATGAAGGACTAATACTATTGGCCATATTACTAGAAGGAAGAGCTGCTCCATCCAAAGAGGGATGGATGCCGTCTCTTCACATCAGACCAAGTTTTCCCCAAAAAGTTTTCCAATTATCAATGTAACCCACGTTGTTTTCAGGACACCACTTAGACAACCAGCGATTGAAGGACAGCATGCGGCTAAACATGTCGTCACTGGTCCGATAAGTTATTTAGTCCAACTTTTGCTTTGATCTGTTTTTCTGCACAGGAGCAGCTGTAGCTGCAGGCTCTCCTCCTGATGAGTCCGTTCCTGCAGCAGTCAGCCACTGCCCGCCCCCCCGTAGCACCCCTACCACCTCCGCCCCCTCCACCACTCGACCAAGCGCAGCAGAACCTGTCCTCAGCCTCCACTACAGCTCAGAGGGAACCACCACCAGCACCATTAAACTGGACTTCACTGATGAGTGGTGAGGGGCGCCCAGAAAAAGCTCTACGGGCAAACAGCAGAGAAAATCTGGCTCCTCTAGTTAATAAACTAAAGTTTCTGACTTCTATTAAGATGTGGTCATTTTTATGCTGATTTTATTCTCACATGCCGCTGAAGTGCCTACGCTTTTATTTAAATCTTGGACATCCTTTTCATCCACTGGTTACTTTGGTTAAATTCAGTGAAACCCTTTTATCATCTCAGTATTTATTTCCTATTCAGGAGCAGCAGCACCTCCAGCTCTCTGGGCAGCGGAGCCCCAAAAGCATCAGAGGCTGTGGCACAGAGCCAAGCGACTTCTGTACTAGAACCAGGTAAGTTCTTTCAACTTCATGATTATGGTTTTCTAGTCAAGCAGAGGCCATAAGAGACTCATGTAACCCCCCCCCCCCCCCCCCCCAGCTCCCCGTGAGTCCTCTGGGGAGCAGAATTTACCGGCTGCCACCACAGAACCACCAGGCGGCGTTTCCTGCTCCAGCTCAACGAGTCAGGGTCCAGCAGGGATCGTGTCTGAGGGGAGCAACGTGGGGTCTTCACCACAGGAGAGGAGTCAGCCAGAGGGGTCAGACGACACATCAGGAGGCTGCAGAAGAACAGAACCTGCTGGAGAAGGAGGAGAAGAGAGTCGGAGACAACCAGCGCCGAGCAGCCAGGACTCTGATGACAGCGATGACGAACCGATTCCAATCCCGCTTGCAAGGTTCAGAGGACAGGGACAGAGGTGCGTAAGAGACTAGATGATGTTGCTATGTAGTACATGATTTCACATAAGACTTCTAAAGCCTGATTCATGCTTCTCCGTAAGCTCCCAACAGGGAGAGACACGCACGCACGGACGGAGACATTTTGCTCTCATACTTCTCCGTCTCCTGGGGAGTGTTGCAAAGCAATTGCCCGGCAGGACAACAGAGGCCGTAGCGCTGTTCTGTGGTATCCTGTCATGTATCGGTCCAAGATAGTGTGTTTATATCGTGTTTTTTTTTGTATATTTGAGACTTTTTAACACGGAGACATTTGTCTCTCATTCTCCTCCACCTCTTCATGGGCTCGCCACCTCTAAACCCACGTTTCCTGTCATTTCCGTCCACAAATAAAACGCTTGCTGCGCATATTTTCACTCCTCCAGTCACGGGGGAATTAAATGTTCATATTTTTAGAGTTTTTTTCACGAGGTATTCTTCAAGCTTCTCTGTGTCTGCCGCTAGTTATTCTCGGCTCTCTTTATGTTTTTGAGGGCGCAATGGCGGCGCTGTAGACAACAGCAGTGCCCTGACCAATCACAAGCTTGCATTCTCCGTCTCGACGGACGGATGTTTAGAAAAGAGAGCTCGACTCCGTACGTCCTCGCGGGGCTCTCCAGCAGGCCCACAAGGATGGATAATGGCGTTGCGTGTCTCCGCACTGACGCAGACGCAGAAGCATGGATCAGGCTTTAGGCGTGGGTGTTTTACACAGAGGCTTTATTTGAAACCTTCTTGCTGACTGTTTCACAACAAATCTAGATTTAATTCCAGGGGGTCTGCTGTAGGAGATAGGATGATCAGGTAACGGATTTGTTCTGGAAACTAAAAACATCTAACCGTACAGGTGTCTGGCCTGCTGCAAAGCATTAACAACTCAATGCACTGCGTTGTTTTTATTTTTGTACCAGTTTGGAAATTCCACCTTAACTAACAACACACAGATCTGAGTGCAACATTTCTGCATCCGAGCACAAACTTGTGTGAATAAAGATGTCACGGCTACACATTTCTACCATAAAAATGTGAATAAACACATTAAATGCATGGTTTGTTGAAAAGATAATAGATAGCAACTGAAGATGAGTGATTTGAGTCACTTTTGATCCACCAAACAGATGTTTTTCTTTAAAAAGGGTTGCTTGAATAAAAAAATTGTAAAAAAAGAAAAAAAAATATTGAATACTTTTTAAGCCTGATTTGTTTTGGTCATCATGAGCATTATTTTGTGAGTATTTAGGCGTTTTATCTTTACTCCATTTTTTATCCCTCAGACGCTCTGCTGCTGCCCGTATCCAAGAGCTGTTTCGCCGGAGAAAAGAGAGACGAGAGCTTGAGGAGAGCGGGACTCAAAACATCAGGAGACCTTCAGTCAAAATGGTTTACAAAGGTCATCGTAACTCCAGAACGATGGTAAACCTCGCTCTGGTTCTTTTACACACCTAAACCTTGGTGTTGCGTTAAACTATTCCTTGAATTGTCCAGATCAAAGAGTCGTGTTTCTGGGGCAACAACTTTGTGATGAGCGGTTCAGACTGTGGGCACATATTCATCTGGGACAGACACACTGCAGAACACCTCATGCTGCTCGAGGCAGACAACCACGTGGTCAACTGCCTTCAGCCCCACCCATACGACCCCAGTGAGTTTCGCCCCAGCAGCACTCGGATCTAACACGACGTGATCGCATGTGTAAACCACCGTTCTCGTCTTCTGCTCTGTTTCAGTTCTGGCTTCTTCAGGTATCGACTATGATATCAAGATTTGGTCCCCCCTTGAAGAGTCGCCATCTTTTAACAGAGTCCTGGCTGTAGAGGTACAACACCACAGTTGGAACAGGTCGGATGGGATCAGAGCGTGATTGTGCAGATGTTTGACTTCTAGTCCTCTCTTCCAAACAAGGTAATAACCAGGAATGAGCTGATGCTGGAAGAAACTAGAAATACAATCACGGTCCCGGCTTCTTTCATGCTCCGAATGTTGGCTTCCATCAATCACATCAGATCAGGTAAACACATGAAAGTCATCTCAAAAACAGGAAGTTCGTCTTCTTCTCTTTGAAATCTAACTTCCTGTTCTCATAGATCGACTGGAGGGTGATCGATCTGAAGGGTCGGGCCAGGAAAACGAGGACGAGTAGTAACAGACTTTAATTTCAAGACGACACCTTTTGTTTTTGCTGTATAGCACTTAAAACACCCCTGAGATTTGTACTAGTGTAGAATACTTCCTTTTTGAATATTGGTGTCATTTCTAGGCCCTTGTGTTTTTTTAAGATGGCTTTCTTACTTGTGTTTCTGTAAGAGGGAAAAATGGCAGCAGTGTGAATGAAAGCAGAATGTCAGTACATTATATATATATATATGTGTGTGTGTGTGTGTCAAGTGTGAGAAAAAGGTGTGATGGCTGGTGTGAAAGGATGTTAAGTGCAATATTATTTCTGTTTGGAGACAGTCAGCATTGTTCAGTGTTAACGTTTGACAGTTTTGAATTTGTGGCAGAGATGTTGATGTGCTGCTGCAGCATGTGAACACAGACTTTAAACATGGATGCTTTAATTTTGTTGGAGAAACCAAACAGAGCAGCGCCTTTTCTCTCATGAAGTCTGTTTTCTAGAATTTGAAAGAAAAATAAAGTGAAAAAAGAAAGTTTTCCTCCTATAAAAACATTTATTTACTGGATTAGTGACAAACTGCAGCTACTCACAGCATCTGTTTTAATTCAGTTAGCTACTTTTATTGTGATCCATAAAGCTAATTATAGCCAAAATAGTAGAGAATGTTTCATTTGACTGGCTGCAGACAAAGGACAAAATGGTAAATATCAGACTTTAATGCAAATATTTCGTGTTAATAAAAATGCAACAGATTACATAACTTCTTAACTGCATAAATTACTTTAAAAAGTGGTACCAGGTCAAATATAAAAAGTAAACATACAAGGTAAGACTGAAGTTCTTTTTTATGAACACAAAAATAGTTGGAAGTTTTTACACTGATGTAAACAAAACATACCTCTGAACCTCTTCCTGTGTTTAAACGACAAGTTTATCATACCAGTTATGCTGAAACAAACCATTTCCTTTCATGTTGTACAGAAACTATGAAGTGCAAATACATTTATACCCCGTTACAAATATAAACATCTATCTGGTTACAAATGCTAAGCACCTTTCTTCAGCTCAGACAGATCTGATTCAGGCATCAGTAAACAAACTTTCAGCAGACCTGAGGTGTGTGAAATTAACAAAGTGTGTTAGAATAAACTGGTCTGTGTGTTTGATGTGGGTCATGATGAGGAGACATTATGAACAAGCAAAAACCCTGAAACTGACAAAAATCAATAACATTTAAATCATCACTTGCACATTGTGCACCAAAATTCCAATAAATGGGAGATTTTGGCTGAACAGTGGTCAGTGTTCGCAGATAATGTGGAGTTTCTTCTGAAGTTAAAGTAACAACTTTAATCAGATGTTGATGCAGCAGAATATTTGTTGTGATCATCATTTGCTGTTTGGAATCTTACATTTTCTTAATGTAAATGAAGGTTTTAACTCAGGGAAATTATGCAAATCTTCTGGATTAAATACATTATTTTAACTCTTTGACATTATGCAGCCCAGAGGCAGCACATCCCCTAAACACACCCAAAAAATATAAAGCAAATTATAATAATACTAATAACAGAACCAGTTTAGCTACAGTTGAGGCTTCCTACTAGAATACACTCGATACCAGCGTTTCATCCTTATTATTTGAAGTGCACACACACACACACACACACACACACACACACACACACACACACACACACACACACACACACACACACACACACACACACACACACACACACACACACACACACACACACACACACACACACACACACACACACACACACACACACACACACACACACACACACACACACACACGTTTGTCTGGTTCAGACAAGTTTCTCTTCCACATCCTGATCATCGTCCTCTACGTTGTCTTTAACGATCCCTTCATCGATACTCTCCAGCCTGAGTCTCTGACCGTCCAGGTATCTGGGTCTCTGCGCCGCCCTCGCCGTGAAGAATCCCCCCTGCAGAGAGACACTCTCCCCAAACAGTGCCAGCTTAGCGTCGCTCTCTATGGCTTTTGCTAAGCAGGAAGCGAAGGTGTCGAGGGATTTATGAACCTCTGCATGGACTTGGACTGACGACGTGTTTTCAGCTGAAGAAATAAAACAATTACTTTAACAAGAATTAAAAAAGGCAAATCTTATGTTTGCTGAGCTGTTTTGTTGCTCTTTAGCAAGTTCACTGTCCAAACACGAAGTATGTTTCTTTGTCTCTAATCATGTCTTTCAGGGAGATAAATGATAAATACCTTTGGAATGCTCCACCTGGTCTTCAAAGGTGACCGAGCTCCTCCTCTTCCCAGACAGATTCCCATGGTGCAGTGGGAAGGAGGAGCAGTCCGTGCAGGAGTTCTCTAGAAGCATCACATCTGTACCTGCATGGGCAACCAACACTCTTAAAGCCAGAAACTTTGTATTTACGTGCAACTACAATAACAAGCTACACAAATCTGACTGGTTTATGTTTTTCCTCATCCTGCAGACACAACACGTTAACAACAGGGGGTAACTTAACTGTTCCACATCCTGTCATGATTAGTTACAAGTTCAGGTGCATATTAATGTTTCAGAAGGCAGGTTGGGAGGAATACAAATGATTCGTAGAAACTTGCTGCTATTCTCTGCTTTGTCGACGATACAAGTCAGAATTGAAATTTAACAGCAAAAGTTATGAAAAGGTTTTTTTTTTTTTTGAGAAGCAGTATGTCACTTTTATAATCAGTTATCAGGAGTCTTTCTTCAGCCTGTGTCAGGTACATACCAGAGTCCTGAGTGAAGCTGAAGCCAGTATCTCCTGTGCTGCTCCCTGGAGCCAACAGGTGTCCTCCACCAGCCAGCATGGCCGTCAGGTGGGGGGACATACCCAAGTCTAAAGGGGAAAAAAACAAAAACATTTTATGGTTGAACATGACAAAGCTATCATTTATATCACGTGACAGAGAAACCCTGCTGCAGCCCTACCTGTGATCCTGTTGGAGATGCTGAAGAGGCGGGAATTTCGTTGCCTTGTGGCAAACGACTCTCTGTAGTAGCGATCTCCGAAGCACATACCCAGCAGCTCCTTTCTCACGGTTTTATTCCACAGGCCGTAGATGAGTGGGTGACACATGGCGCTGCACAAAGATAGCCACGCCACCAGAGTCTCCAGTCCCTGAGACACGCTGCCCTGACCCCACAGAGCCTCCGTACACACCACCCCGACATAAGGCCCCCACGTCACGAGGAAGGTACCGATCACCACCAAGATGGTGACTAAGGCCTTACATTGACTTCCCGCGTAGACGAGGCTCCGCCGGCTTCCGTTAGAGGAGGTCGATGTGCTTGAGTTCTTGCGCCCATTTCTTTGACCTCCTGTTGAGTCATCCTGGGTCACAATAACCGTCCCACAGTGTACTTTGCGGGCTTTCATGCGAGCCACACGGAAAATGACTCCATAACAGATCAGCATGATGAAGAATGGGGGAAGCATGCACCAAATTACCCAAAAGGCCGTGTAGCTGGGCTCTTTGGACCAAGACGCCACACACGTCCATTTAAAGCAGTCAAACTCAAAGGAGGACCAGCCAAACAGAGGAGGCAGACAGCCCAGCAAAGAGTGCAGCCACACGTAGACTATGACAACCACAGCCCGGTTCCCCGTGATCTTCATGGGGTAGATCATCGGGTAAAGCACGGCGTAGTACCTGCACAGATCAGACAGAATTAGTCAGCACAGTTCAGATTCTAACAGAGGCTGATGAGTGATGCTGAAAATAAAAGCTGTGTGTGTGTGTGTGTGTGTGTGTGGGGAATAATACTGCATTTTTTGCTAAAAGATGCAAACACAGCTAAGAGAAGGGAGCTTGGAAGGAGAACAAAAAGTTTCTGTGTAATCAGAAATCCCCAAAGGTGCCTAGGGTAATTAGGAAAACAGAGAACTGGGAGGCCTGCTGAAAACGTTTGCAGCAGTGTGGACAGTAGAAGCTTTGTGATTCCTGGGAACAACGAAATGATGCAGGGTTTACCTCAAGTTATTTACAACAGGAATTTCGGCAAATATTAGTCAGATAATTGATTGTTCCATTAAATAAAAGTCTATAAATCAAGATAAATAATGCCAAAATAACTTATAACTACAAATGTAAGTTGGGCCTCACCTGTCAATAGCAATAGCTCCGAGGGTGAGCATGCTGGCTGAGCTGATGAGCAGGTAGAGCAGAGCCGTGAAATTGCACCAAACCACCCCGAACACCCACTCTCTCTTCGCTGAGCTCACAGCCACAAACGGCAGCACCAGAACCGACAGCAGCAGGTTGGACAACGTCAGGCTGAAAACAAACTTGTTGCTGGGTGTGAGGAGGTACGGCCTCCGGTAAAGGGTCACCACAATCAGCAGGTTCCCCATAAAGGCCAGGAGAGTGATGGTCACGATGGACACGGACTCCAAGGCTGCCAGACCTTCGCCATTCCCCGCCGGAGTGCAGTTTCTGGTGGTGTTCATGGTGAGGGACTGGTCCACCGGACGGGTGACTCAAGAGTGGGAGACTGCAAAGGACAAACTCACCATCACGATCATGAAGAACCCACCAGAAAAATTGACTTTTTAACCATATTTTACCTCCTGAATGAGTCAAAAGTTCTAGAAAAAACATGGATATTTTATTAATTATAAAATTCATGATTTCTGAATTATATTTCTAAAATAAATACCACAGCAATTTCCTAATGATAACCAATTGTTTAGTGCTGTTTAATCCTATAAAACATATATTAGAGTTCACAAATTACTTTTTTGTTATTTACTAAAAGTTACAGAAATAGAAAAAAAAACATAAACATTTGTTCAGATTTAATTGTAATTTTTTTCTTTTTCTGTCAGTAGCCGAATTTGGGTCTAAGAAGACATTTAATTAGAAATAAAAATACATAAATATATAGAATCTGTTATTCACCCGAAAGTACATGCACAATACATTTAGTAATTATCAATAAAACTTACAGTTCAAGTAAAATGCACCAAAAGAACCCAAAAAGTCTTAATGCTAAAGCATAATTGTGTAGATTTAGATTTGAGATCTATAAAACTATATTTATTTATGCAGCTGCATTATTATAAATGTTTTGTTTTGTAAACGAACACATACTTGTCTGTATGGATCACAAACTTTGTTACATTTACAAACAAGGGACATAAACTCTTTTCAAACAGAAGGGTCTTTAATTTTGTCCATGAGGAGGATAAATCTCGTTCCTCAATAAAAAGCTTGAAATCCGAAGTTGTGCTCAGATTTCAGGCTATTAAATAAACAAATGTTAGCTTTGAACAACATCAGAACCATAAATTCTCCATAAACTAACTTTGTGTCTGGGAGTCAGGTACAAAAAGTTATTCTAACACAACTTTTAATCACAGCTAACAGCCGAAATGTTGTTGAATTAAGCAGAAATACTCGGTTCCGTTAACACGTTAGCTAAACATCCCGTTAGCCGAAAACTTTCCCCCATTGTCCTCCCTCGAACTCGTTTCTTTACCTGCTTTTGTTCGGCGCTTCGGCTCCACATTTCTCTCTTCTGCGAAGACAAAACGTCCATGTTACTTTTATGTTTCCACACTACGCTCTAGGAGGGGAGAGAATGGCAGAAAAAAGCACAAAGCTAGTGCTGAAAAGCAAATGTTTGGTATCGCTCATCCCTCTCCAACAGCCAGCTGTGGCTGCAATGGCGTCCTCCTCCACCTCCCACCTAAACTTCTATTCCCACTGTGTGCGTGGGTGGTCGTGGAGGGAAACTGCTCCGCTTTCATTTCTACATCTACTCATCTGACATCTTCAACGGGATTGCGTTGTTTAAGCCATAACGCATTTTGTAACCTCTCCGATGTATTTGTTTCTAAAAACCCTCATGTCTTTTTCATTCGGTTTCAAAAATGAAATGTAAAAGTAATTTGTTGTTTTGTTACCTAAACTGTTTGAATAAACATGAACATTCATGATGACCAAAACGAAATGACGCTCTGCAACAGTTCACAGACGCCTCGCTGCTGGAGCGGACCACACACGTAGAGATCATAGATTCGCGCAAAAATTCGTCATCATACGTCTTCCAATCAGAAATGAGGTGTTGTGCAGGAAAATGTTCCCATTTCCGGCAAAGGACCTGCAACCATAAGTGAGCTTCAGAATTACTAACATTACCATATTTTCAAATAACTGTGGAAGATAAACATATTTAAGCCCGCGAACGTTTGTCTTACAAAAAAGTTTTGAGGTGCATCTTTTGATTTCCTTCCTTTCCTGGATTGGAGATGGCACATATGTCCACTCTTTTATGACAGCTGCAGCCAAACTGGGTATTCATCTCAATATTGCTACATCAAAGGGTTTTCTCATATATATAAAACAAAAAAACTATCCTTTTGTCTAATCTTTAGAATCTTGTGATTTTTAAAGTTTTCATTTGTTTTTCACAGAGTATGACCCTGATGAAAGGCATTGAAGAAGCAAAGAAGCAGTCCAAACAAGGTTCTCTGCAGAAGTTTGAACTGTGTGTGTACAGGTCAGCTGGCAGACTTGACGGAGCCTGGGAAAAGATATATGTACGTATTTATGCAAATTGGTTTTTAATTTGTCAGAATATTTTGTTTGCTAATCCTTTCAATTGAGCTCATTAGGGACCAATCGCCAATCTCAGGAGACTATTAGGAGCAGCCAGAAATAACAAGCCTCCAAGGTATCTAAAGCTGTATAGGAACTTTTTTATGGAATTCAGACTTGTTAGTCCTTGCTGAAAATCCATTTCAGCCATGATTTAATATTAATAATCAGAACATAACAAGTGAAATAATGATTTAGGTCCCAATTGATTTAACAGATGAGACAAGTAAAATAAATTTGGTGCCACAATGTAAAAAATTATGCCAAGCATATACAAATCAAGTAAACAAATAGGAATTAAAGGCGTTCAAACACACATTTTAAGCTTTTATTTATTTAGGCATTCATAGTGTTTGCATTGTTTCATATTAAATGTTATTTTTCACGCCTGTTCTCATTCTTTTTTACTTAATGTAATGTATTACATGAACAGAAAAGGGGCAGAGCTTTCGAACAGTAAAAGAGGCAGCAAGTGTTTTCAGATCAGTTCCAGTCCAGTGGAAACTCTCATAAAGCCTTACTGACTGAGCTACTGACAGGCTCTGCAAAGAAATAAGTGTGAGTTCCAAACAAAGGAAAAGGAAAATGCAGTCTTAAATAAACCCCAGAAGATTACAAAGGAGTTTCCTAAAACTAAAACTCCAAAAGACAGAGAAGCTTTAAAAAGGCTTTCCAGATTATGGGTCCTCCAACAGTATGCCAAATAAATACATAAACAGGATTTGTGCATCAAATTACTTTTGTGGTAGTCAAATGATAAATGTGTACAGCAAACTGATTAATATCACAAACTAGTACTCAGATCCCATTTTTTTTTTTCATTTTAAAACAAATCTGCAAAGTAATTTTATGCTGTAGAAAATGTATTTCATTCTGAAATCTGGTACAAGTCAACATGCAATTTTGTTAAATTTGTGTGAAGTAAGAAGGACATCCTGTGATCAAATTTGGGTACTGCAATCCATGTATCAAAACAAACAAGGCAGCAGAGTATCTGTTACCAGTGGTGGACTGGCCATCGGGAGCACCGGGACAATTTCTGGTGGCCTGGCTGTTGCTCAACTGGCCCACTCGGTGATTGCCAGACATCAACCTGCAAAGGGTTCCTGCGCTTTTAACGGTCTCAGTCTAAATTACTGAATTACTAAAATAAATGTCATTTTGCACCATATTGTAATTTTCCAAGTTTCATCTGTTTTCCACAGTGAAATTCTTACTTATTGCACCTTTAAATTGTAAAAGTGGATTTTTGAATCGTTGAGCATTTCAGTATCATAGCCTAAAATACTGCCACACCAAATTGTGATTGGCTGGTTGTTTTGCATCTTGAAAAACTTGTTAAAACAAGATAATATTAGGCCTCACTTGCTCCATCCTGTTTAGATCTGTTTTAATGGATGAACAGCACAAAAAAGTTATTTTCAGAAAAAAACTACATAAAAGCAAACACTTGTTTTATAAACTATTAGGTCAAGAGGTTAAAACTTCAGCATGGGGGTCTGTGGAGTGTAGTCAGTCAGGAGAGACACCATAAGTCCCTAAAAGAGGTCAATTGAAGGGATTAGCAAATAGAATATTCTGACATATCACAAACCAATTTGCATACATTTTAAAAGTAATACAGATTACCCACCATGATGGTCCATTTCCGATTTTCTGCTTCAGAAAAGACAAGAGAGCGAGATGAGTAAAACACCTGGTCATCCACCTCCTCCATTTTTCGAGGAAGACAGTGAAGGAAGGTCCAGTCTGGTTTGGCTACACTTCCAGTCTGTAATCCACCAGATCCAAAACATGACAACAGAACTCATTCATGAAACTGTAGCTTTGCCAAGACAAAATAGGATGTTTGCACACCTTTTCTTACAATAAACTCCTCCATGAGTGGGCATCAGTGAGAATGCGTACAATGTAGAAATGTTTGTTTTAAGTTATTCACTTAAACCCGTTTAAAAGTCACTTGCTGCCACGATGGAGACTTAGTTTTATTCGGTGCTATCCAACCAAAGGGCAAACTCTGCCAGTCGAAAGTGAAGCCAACGTGGAAGTGACAAATTGCAATTCTCCCCTCATCCACCAGGAGCTGGTCCCACAACAGAGCTAACTCCCACTGACTCCCATGTTAAAAATGCCAACTTCAAGTGTTTCTACAAAAGAACTCTTAAATTTATAAATCAATTTCCTTCTTCTCCTAGTTAAAATTAAAATTCCCAAAGAGGACAAAAAAAGATTAAGAGTTTTTTTAAGCTTCAATAAAATAAGGATGACACACAATATTGCAGAGCTGCATCAATCATCACCGCCCCAAAACATCCAGAGCCGCAAGGACGTGTTTTTCTTGATCCTATTGGCACAAATCTACTCCCATAGACGTGCAAGTGAATCTCATCGACCCTGGGGGCGGATGTCGAACAGAAGTAAAAAAAACAAAAAACAAAAAAAAAAAAAACCCCAAAAAACAAATCACACTGAAGTTCAGATACGGGGTAACCAAAACCTAACCACATCTCTTCAGTTCTCATTGTTATTGCTCTGTGAGAAAAGCAAGGGAGTCACGTGGACTGCAAAACTGACGGGTAATCTGACCTGTTGTTTGGTGCATGAGCACTAAACACAGGCAGGGTCTACCCACACATATGTGGGAGGCTACCATGATGTTCACGATGGGGCCATCACTCCTGCTTGAAATCTCTCAGCGGGGGCAACTCTAGTGGAAGAGTGTCCAACCCCTCTTGAGGAAACTGGTTTTGGAGCCAGAGCCGTACATTGAGGTGAGTCCAACAGCTGGAACCTCTCAGTCTTGCTCATCATCCACTCGCTTTTTCCCAACAAGAAAGGTGATATTCCATGTACCGAGAGCCAGCTTTTGTAGAAAAGAATCAGACTGCCATGGACACTTAGACCACTGTTCATCTCACATCGAGTGATGGCTCAATGTGAAGAGGGACCCATGTTTCCTCATTGGGCTGTACCCAATTGGACTCAATGGGTAAAAGCCAACAGGTGCTCGCCAACGTATAGGTCTGGTGCCAAAGGGAGGCCCTACCGTGAGGGAACGCAGTTTCCATTCATGTTAATCATCATAAAGGCTCTTTAAGCTGCACTTTGTCTGATCCCTCACCTAGGACTTGTTTGCCTTGGATGACCTTACAAGGTGCAAAAAGCCCATGACAGCCTGGCTCTTAGGATCATTAGGAAACTCAAACCCCTCCACCATGATAAGGTGGCCGCCCAGGGAGGAGTGTATTGGTTTGAAAACTTTTTATAAAATAAAAATATATTAATAAATTAAAATTAACTCATTCCCTTTTCTATTGATGTTTGAAGAAAATTAAAGGTCATACATTCATGGTAATTTGGTATCCCTTGAAGTCTTTGAGTCTCTTCTTCTTCTCCTCCTCCTGACCCATGCTGACCCAGGTGTCAGTCACCAACACATTGCTGCCATGGGCTGCCTCCATTGGATCAGATGTCAGAACAAGTTGAGTCCCGTGCTACGACAGAAATTTGTTTACTAAGTTTTAAAAACTTTGGCCTGTTTACAGTTTAAACTGTGAACCTCACAAGCTCGGACTGCTTCTTTGCCTCTTCAATGACACTTTGCTCAGGCTCATACCCCTGTGTAAAACAAATCAGACATTAAAAAGTCAAAAGAATCTAAAAATGAGAAAAAATAATGGTCAAATTAGAAAATTGCATAAAAAATTCAACAAGGCAAACTTTTGGTGTAGCAATTTTAAGATGAACGCCCAGTTTGGCTGCAGCCATCATAAAAGAGTGGAGGACATTGTTCCCGTCTCCAATCCAGCTCACCGTCAGTCCACTGAGCGATCCATAATGCTCCTGTAATGATAATCGAGTTAGTGAGATAAATACTGTAATCTAGATGAACATTGTAGAAAATAACACACCTGTAAGGTAAGGAAGTCTGCCAGAATCTGGATGGGGTGATACAGGTCTGAAAGGCCATTGATGATGGGGATAGAAGCCTCCTTGTTCAGCTCCTCCAGCGTCGAGTGGCTGTACACTCGGGCCAAAACAATATCACAGAGTCCTGACAGAACCCTGAGGAGACAGATTATACATGGCATGCAACTTATTTAAAACTAAATTAAGAAAATTATTAAAAAATGTCTCTGGAAGGAAATCAAAAGACGCACCTTGCTGTATCGGTACGACTCTCATTCACGCCCAAATGGATGTCCTGGGAGGTGAGGAAACAAGGATGTCCACCCAGCAAAGCAAAACCTGAAATAATTATACAGGAAACAGTTTTAACAATAAAAAGTAATAAAAGGAAACAAATAAATCAGAGAAATTAATCAGGAAGTTGTTGCACTAGAATTTGCCTTTCAGCAGCTCTTTTGTTCCTGTTAACAATAGCAGGGATGAAAGGTTTCAGGCCCGTGAACAACAGAACACATTCTGTTTAAAACATGCAACAGATGAGCTTTCCCACAAACTTTTAATGTTTTCTTTTCTAATCTATTTGTGACAGAAATGTATAAACTGAGCCTGATGCTGAAATGTAAAATCAGCACCTGTTTCTGTGGACATTCTTGTTCTGGTGCTCCTCTTCTCAAATATCATGGCGATGGACTTTCCTTGTAGGAGAGGCAAATACTGAAATAGAAACAGGGTTTCTAAACGAGGATCACAGAGTAGTGATTTAATACAAAGTCATGTTTGTACCTGTTTTTCGTGCTTTATTCGATGTTTGAGGTCCTCCGACACCCATAAGAGCCTCTTAATTTCATCTGAGCTGAAGTCTTTAAGAGTGAGGCAGCTGCGGCCTTTTAAGTTCACAGAATTAAAGGAAGTGCTGAAAAGAAACTAGAATTAATTAAACTGGTTTTATTCTCACCTTTTTTCTGAATAAAGTTTGGCGTTACTCACACAAATCCTCGGTTCCATCTGGAATGAAAATAATTCAGGCATTTTAAAATCCGATTCCTGTCAGACAACATCTTTAAAGGCATCGTAGCTCAGTCTCAGTCGGAGATGATGATGAGAGTTTCTCGGGATTTTTTCAGTCTATGGAAAGAGATGATTTTTTTTCGATCAGTGAAGCTTTTAGATCCGCATCTTTTGTTTCACCACGAACATAACGGTACACTGAGTGAGCGGAGTCTAAAAGCGATAATTGAAATTCAGCTGTGAGATTAGCGTGATTCTGCCAAATACACAACATACTTCTACAGCTCTGTAAAACTGCTCTGGTTTTTTGAAATTTATTCAATGTATGAATTCTAAGTAACCACTTTAGGAGAGAACGTTCTCTCTCGTTTGTCCTTTTTCTTCCGGAGACAGGAAAAGGAGCGGACCCACAAAGGTCTCCGAACACGTGCGTCCACCATTGGGTGTCCACCAGGCAGCGTGGTGTCATCCGGGGGTGTGACACAAAACATAACATGCTGCAATTTTTTTTGAAAATGTATTAGAATCTTTGGTGGCCTCAAATTTAATTTGAAAGTCTAGTCTGAGAAATGAGGAATTTATTTTAAATGTTTAAATTATTTATGTAAAATCAAGACTGAAATTAAGCTTTTTAAAACAAGGTTTACCGAATTAACCTAGAGAAAACTGGACCAAATTCTTCCATTGCAAAGTTTGAATCACTTACACACACACACACACACACACACACACACACACACACACACACACACACACACACACACACACACACACACACACACACACACACACACACACACACACACACACACACACGTATGTTGTACTCATTTCATTTGATCTGATCTGTACAGTGTATTTTTTTCTCTCTCTACTTCTGTGAATTGGACTAAGGGTCCAGAATAAAGAATACCCAATTCCCATAGACTTGACTTAATTAAGCCCCTGTCCCAACTGCTTTCATTCACTTTAAAACCGAAATTGAATTTATAGTTAGACATTCTTATTTTAGATTTGTCTTCGTGTGAGGCAGGGCCGTGCAGAGACCTTTGAAGGGGCGGGTGCCCAAAGTTAAAAAAGGGGCACATATAGAGCAAAGTTTTTTTTAACAGATTCATGATGCAACAAGTTAAAAAATTCAGATAATGAGACCCTTGGTTTCAAACAACATAATGCAAACTAGGAAAAATATGACATTAATTAAGGTAACGTTAGTTCATAAAAAGTTGTTTTAGTTTTTAAAGCTGACTTATGTTACAACTATATTTTTGCCCCTGACCTGAATCCAAGTTGTTTGATTTTTGATTTTCTTACAATACTGAGTCCTGTTTTGATACCAGGTGGTGATGCAATGCATTAAAAAAGAAGAAAAAAAAATAGAGAAAGTCCCATAGTCATCATCACATACTGGTGATCTCAATGGAGGGCAGTGGTGAGATACAGCAATGGCTGTGCTCTAGAACTATTTGGTGGTTTTACCCCCAATCCAACCCTTAAAGCTGAGTGTCAAGCAGGGAGGCATTGGGACCCATTTTTAAAGTCTTTGACCCGACCAAGAATCAAACCTGATTGCACAGTCCCAGGGAGGACACTACCATGAGGCCACTGAGCTGGTCCCAAATTGTCCTTCTACCTGTATTTGTATTCGAAATTGACAAGAGACAGCTCATGTAAGAGGTGATAAAATATGAATAAAATAAAATAAGTCAAATAAATGCAACCACAGGAAGTTATCCAGCGTGATCTACAGCTACGTTAGCTGAGATCTTTTCCTGTCTGTAGGAAATTCCTGATCCAATTCCTTGATCTCACTCTGAACTTAACACTAAACATGAGAGCTCTGCTACCAACAACGCCCTTTACAGAAGGCCTCTCTCTCTCTCTCTCTCTCTCTCTCTCTCTCTCTCTCTCTCTCTTTCTCTCTCTCTCTCTCTCTCTCTCTCTCTCTCTCTCTCATTTCATACCATTTCCAGAATACTGCACATACTTTGCTTCATGGTGCTGATCCGCAATATTTACCTCATTATTTATTTCTAGTGTTAGAACAATAACATAATAGTCAACAATAAAAAAACATAATAAAGTCATAAAACTTATGCAGTTATGCTCACATTCACTTTTACCATCTCTTCGTGGGCAGAACATTCATCACATGTTTAACCCTCTTATGACCATAAATATAACTGCTATTTGTTTTTTCTGGCTGTGAAATAGTACCAAAAAGCTCAAAATATTTGTAACTGCTCCTTTTTTCAGAACAACCTCAGCTTTCAGTGTCTGGTTTGTATTTAGTATTTACGTTTTTCAAAGTCTGTAAAAATGCAGCTTAAATGAAAAAAAAATACAGATTTTAATTTTTTACATTTATTACTAAATAGGAACCTCAAAAGTACTTGGTCAAACTATTTCAAATGAACAGTTTAAACTCTGAACTTCATTAACAAACAGTCAGAAAACAGTGTGAACCCTGCCTCGCGTTTATCAGTTTAATGACTGCAGGCCTGTCTGTGACCACAGGCAGGTCTATGCTCTGGTTCAGAGAATGGCATGGAGTAAAAATAAATATTAGGTAACATAAAATAACACTCACACATCATCACAACTGTATGGAAATTTCTACCAGCATTATAATTATTGATAAGCCAGTTGAAAAGTAATACTAAAAGGTGAAATCTAAACATTTCATGACAAAAAGTCAACTAATAAAATTCTGCACGGATATAAAATTATATTTTCAGCTAAAAAATATTTATTGTACGTATAAATAATGCTGGAGTAAAGCTGAATCTTACATTCAGTAAATAGTTGATAAAAGTTTGACAGTGATCAGTCCCTTATGTCACCAGAAACTTCTGGGACACGTGATTAAGGTGGATTTTCTTTGAGATAAAGTTATAGAAAGGTGCTGATGCAGATGATTAGTTATCTCCTCCGCTTCGTTCTCCACTCTCCCGTCGTGGTTCGCTCCGTTTCCCGTGAAGCTGAAAAACTGCTTTCCCTCTAATAGCGATTTTCGGAATAACATGAATTACACCATGTAATACCTCGCAGGAAAGCTCGTTTTATGTGCTTTTAGAAACCGCTGGAACTATTTTCATTCGATTAGTTATTCAGAAGTTACCATGCCGAGAATCTCTGTGTCCTCTTTTCTGTCTCAGACACGCTGACTCTGCTCAACACCAACACGCACTAACCACAGACTCAAATGTTAATGTAAACAAAAGCTCTGATGTTAAAATCCATCCAGCTGACATGATGCAGGCAGAATAAAAAACTCACAGCTAGATGAGCGCAGACTCCTGCCAACAAGCAAAACACAGGTTTCAGTCATCTCCATGGAGACAGATTTAGAGCGACAGCAGGCACAGCCAATCAGACGTTGGCATGACGTGGCAAAGCTAATCAGTGAGCTTGTGGGTGGGTCTAAGGGTTCAGCTTGAGGAGGCTGCCTCCACATGGTCCTAATGCCTGACCTGTATCCAAGTATGACAGTTTTGGATGAAAAAAGGGCACTTTGGGCACTTTGGACAAAAGGGGCAGGTGCTCAAGCAATGTATTTTCTGTTTAAAAATACAGCAAAACTAGAACGATTTTGGTGTTTTAGCTAAAAAAATATCTAAACTATTTCAGCTTTATTTCTCTCAGCCTTAAAATCTGAAAAGGTGAAGCTTGTGGCTTGTGGGAGAGATCACACTATCATCTGCACATGTAAGATGCACATTTAAACTTTTTTTTATTATTTGGAACAGAGTGTACAGTTCTGGTAGTAACCAGAAGGGTCAGCTCGGTTTGGGTCACTTCAGCAACATCAAATCCTTTCAGCTTCTTCGTCCCTTCCGTGACCCGGCGCCTATCAAAAAGCTCGCTGCACCTTCGCTGCACCTCCGCTGCCCTGACAGGTGTGACCAGTGATCATAGAGCGTGTTTCTGCAGATGTTTGATGGTTTATGCAGAAGACGGGAGGCTGTACATGTGGAGATTGATTTAGGGGCCGACGGCTTTGCATCAGAACCCAGAGAGGTGAGCTTTGGGCAGGCAATGGAATGGATCTCCTGTGGACTCCGTCACTCAGCTTTGGTCACAGGTGAGACACCTGTTTATGGTAAGCATAAACCAGTAGAAACTCACCAGTTAGAAACCAGTATCTGGGTTTCAGTACATGGGAATCTCTACACGTTTGGTGAAAGGACGAATGGAAGACTTGGTTTGCAGGTGGAGCAGCTGGCCAATCGCAGAGTTCCTCAGCGGCTGCAAGGCATTCTGGGACATGTCACTCAGGTGTGCTGTGGAGGGGAGCACACTGTGGCTCTCACAGGGATAAAAATAATTTCTTATCACAAAACGCTTACATTTCTGATGTTGTTTCTAATTTGTGAAATTATACTTTTGATAATTTCAGTTATTTGTCTCGCTTTATGCCAGGAGAAGATGTTTACACATTTGGCAGGGGTCAGTACGGTCAGCTGGGACATGCAACATTTCTGTTTCAAGTTAATTCTCCAAAACGTCTGCAGCACTTCCACAACATCAGCATCCAACGCATCGCCTGTGGAGAAAACCACACCGCTGTGATCACAGGTGAGCATCTCTGAAGATCAGTCTCATAAAATGTGCCGTGCATTAATCATCCTGTTTGTCCTCCTCCACAGGTGTTGGGCTGCTCTACACTTTTGGTGATGGCCGTCATGGAAAACTGGGTTTGGGGGAGGAGAACTACTTCAATCAATTCACCCCAACCCTCTGCAGACACTTCCAAAACTACAGCGTTCAGTCAGTAGGTAAGTGATGCAGCTTTCAACATGTTACGTTTGAGGAACACATATAAATCTTGTCTTTGTTGACTTCCTTCATCATTACTTACAGGACACTTTGTCCTGTATCTACATAAGATTTTATGATTTTCAGGTGTCCTGCAGCGATCATCACATGCTGGTCCTGGCTGTGCCCAGACCAGCACAGAGTCTGGATGTTATTCCAGAGAAGGAAGCCCTAATCGGAGACTACTTGGAGACGACAGGAGAAGAAAATCTGTTAAAATACTCACTCACTGATCCAGATCCAGCCATTCCACTCTCAGCCCTGGCTGCTCGAGGCCGTCGCAGAGAAAAAGTGAGGATCTGCTTCTCTGTACTAAATTTCTAAGCACATGCCCTAAGTTTATTAATTTTTTTCATATAAATAGTTATTAAAATGCATTGATTCGTCTTCTGCAGAAACATAAAAGGATAATATAAAAGACAGAAAAACATGAAAAAGTAAATAAAGTAAATTTTAGTTTTTGTTGTTGCAGATCTGTGTAACTCCAGTAGGGGGTAGTGTTGCACTAGTATTCTGCTCTGCTGCGTCATCATTTTGATGGGGCTGCAGAGATTCATTTCTTGTCTTTCAGAACATTTCTGTGGAGCTGTTTGGGGAGTTGTCTCAGAATATTCCTCGTTTTAACTCTGGGTTCCTGAACGCCTCGGGGCAAATGTCCAGGAACATCCCAAAGAAAAAGACATTTTCAAATGATGTTCCCAGCCCTACACCTTCGCCCAAACACAAATCAGAAACAAACGTAACCCCACTTTTATCCCCTAGATCTCATTCGCTCTCCCCTCAGTTTGGTGTTTTTCTCAGAGTCACCAAGCCCCCCATCATCACACTCATGTCAGAGAAAAGCTTCCACCGCTTCTGGTCTAAATCCAAAAAGCTGCCTTCTCCAATAGCTCTAACCAGATCTGTCACTAAATATAACCTCAGTACTCCTGCGTTTATGAAAAGGAATGTAAAAACCAGAAGATACCAAGCAGCAGCCACTGAAAACGGCTTAAAAGACAAAGTTTCTCCACCTAAAGAGCCCTGCAGCCCCACCAGACCCCCGATCCATGTTTCCAATAAAAGCCTCAATGAAGAGGAGCCTCACGCAGGTAAATGAACCTGTTAAATGATGGCGATAAAATATGCAGGAGTTTATAAAACTCTGTTTCTTCTAAGGTGAAACATTTGAGAAACAACCAGGCGAGACTCAAGAAGTGGAGAGTAAAGGGAATTCTTCTAACTCTTTGCCATATAAGGTAAGAAAAAATACTTTTTAATAGCTTGTGTGCAACCGTTTCTCTTTGATAAATGCAGAACAGCATCCAGAGCATCATTAATATAGAGTCTGCTGAGTGTAGTTTCCCCCTGAAGGTTTCTTCTTTCTGCTCCAAATTAAAATACTCCAGGGCAGGAAGTTGCAAAGTTGAGCACACTCACTGACTTTTCCAGGAATTGTGCTTACTTCAGCATGTGTGTGTGTGTGTGTGTGTGTGTGTGGATATTTTCCACTGTGTATGACACTGAAGTCTAACAGTGAATAGAATTCTGGTTTCTTTATTTTCCACATTATTTTCCTCAGAATGTCCGATGATTCTCCCTCACGCTTCTGTCAACACACACACACACACACACACACACACACACACACACACACACACACACACACACACACACACACACACACACACACACACAGCTTTTGCAGTTACACAAACATGATCTACACATTAGTATTGCTTTGGAAAAGTTGGCAGGAATCTCGCCACATCTCATCAGCGTTTCCACAGCCAGCGTAGCGATGAAGCAAGCGGTGGAGGAGTTTCCCCACATTGTCAGGAGCACCAGTCTTCTCCAACATGTGGAGCCTCTTCCTGTTTTATCCGAAGTGCTACATGAGAAGCTGTATTTCAACACGATGAAAAATAAAACCCAGAATGACTCTGCGGGGGATCAGAAATCAGGATTTCAGTAAATTTCTCAATTTGGCAAATTTGAAAAGTGTTCAAGCTATTAAACGTTGAGTTTTTTTGTAATTTTGAACATCCTTAAAAGTGATTTCATCTTTATTGTATGCTTTATTTGCATGATCTAACATCTATCTGCAGTTTCTCACATGTATTGGTGATTATTTTCAAAGTGTGTTACACAAAGACAGTCCGACAAATAAAGTAAATTAAAAAGCACTTAAATCTTTACTTTTAAAGGCATTCCCAGTGTTTGTATAGTTTTATACTGAATCATTCTTTTTTATGCCTGTTTTCTTTTTTTTTTACGTTATGTGATGTATTACAGGAACAGAAAAGGCGCAGAGCTTTTAGACGAACTGCAAATGAGGCAGCGACACACTCAGACCAGTTCCAGTCCAGCGGGAACTCTCGTAAAGCCTTACCGACTGAGCTTCTGACAGGCTCCAGCTCTCCAAAGACAGCAAAAGGAAAACACAGAGTCACATCTAAAGACCAGCGGATTACGGAGGAGTTTCCTAAAACTAAAACTCCAAAAGAAAGAAAAGCTCAAACATTGCTTTCCAGTTCTACATCAGATAAACACAAGAGCAAATCACCACATTTTAGTCCTAAAACACAACCATCTGTGCAGAAGACTGATGTGAGTGAGACCACCAGAAAACAGGTGATAGAATGTATCCAAAATAACAACAAAGTCACGGAAAATTATTTCAAGAGAGGAACCCCAAGAAGAGAAAAAATGACATCACCGGTTTCAGACGAGGCAGGTCCAGTCTAACGATCGCAGATGGTGATCAAACAGTTGAAAATGTAAACATATACATTATGGTCAATTCTAACGAAGTAGAGGGGCAAAACATGATACAGCTGCCGAAATCGCCTCCAGCAAAGATGAAATGCAACGTTCCGTCTGCATCAGGATCCATCCGGGACACGAAACACGCTCAAACTAGTGTGAAATCTACACCTGTTCAAATAAAGGAAAACTAGGGCTGCACATTATATCGTAAATATATCTTTATCGCGATATCAGCATGAGCAATATGCATATCGCAAAGAACAAAAATATCGCAATGAATGGTCAGCTCATATGTTTGCTTCACATAATGCGTTCTGTCAATCAAACAGAAGCATGATGTTTAACAAATGAAATAGAGCTCTTCACCCATTTGGCCAATCGGGTGGGTTCTCGTAGGTTAGATTCCAAAGTGGCAAGAAGTGTCAGCAGCATCTCTTCTTCCTGCTGTTGGTGTGGCAGGGGCTGTTGGGCTCCTCAGTGAGGTTGTGACTGGTCTGGACAAATCTACACAACCTAAAACACCTCAGAATCAAACAATTCACAAAGCAGACAGCTGTTTCACAGCAGTCCTCCACCTCCTCCTCTTCATCACATTTCACCTCAAATGGGATGGAATACGGCATACAGAAAGTTGATCAGTCAGATTTAAGAACCAGCATCCAGGAAAAAGAGCATTTCACAGAAGATCCATCAGAACAGGAAGCAGCGACAAGTGTGATATCTGAGCAGACCAGGGAGGATGATGAAACTTTCCAAAAGGAACAAGAAGGAGGTGAAGATGGGAGCATTTTTAAGAGAGATAAAACGATCAGTGAGAAAGAGGAACAAAAGGGGAGGAAGAAGAAGGAGAGAGTGGAGATGTGGAGGCTGAAGAAGAACAAAGTAGTGAATTGGAGGAAGAAGATGGTGAGGAGAAAACAAGCTCCAGCACTGGGGAGGAAGATGAAGGTGAGGAAGAATAGAACAGTTTGGAAGCAGGTGAAGGACCAAGTGATTCTGAAGTGAGTGAAGCAGATGATGATGATGAAGGTGAAAGAGAGGAGATAAGTAATGGGGAGAGGGATGAAGAAGAAGAAACAAGCAGTGATTAATCAGAGCATGCACACACTGAGAGCTAAGTTTCAGAGGAAGAGGAAGAGGGGGAAAGTGACACAGCACAATCTTCAAAAGGAGATGAAGAAGTTAAATCTGAAGAAGGAAGTGAGGAAGATGAGAACAAATCTGACAAAAATGAAGAGACAGAGGATAGTGAGGGAGAAGAAGATGGTGATGAAAAAGAGTTTGAGGAGGAGGAAGAAAACAATAAAAGTTACCAGGGAGAGGAAGTTTCTGTAGACGATTCTAAGACTGAAAATAAAACAACAGAGGAAGAGGCCAGTGGAGAGGAAGAGGAGGAAGAAGGTGGAGAAGAGGAGGAAGAGGAAGAGAGAACAGAGAATGAGGAAGAAGATAATGTAGAAGATCCTGCAGAGGAAGAGAGTGGAAGTGATGATGATGATGAAAACGAGAAACAAACTGAAAGCAACCAAAGTGAAGAAAATGACAATGAGATGAATGAAGGGGTAGAGGAAGAAGAAGAAAGTAAAATACACTCTCAGGATCTGGAGCCTGCTCATTTAATATTTAAATTGTTACCAATTTCTGTCTTTTGTAGCTCATGCTTGTCATATTTCAGGAAACAGAGGAGCTGCAAAAGAAAATACTTTGTAAATCTGGGAAGCGTAACCTGACGCTTCCTGTAAATAGATGTTAATCTGAGCAGAGCTGTAAAATAGGCTGATTGTTGTGTGCATCAAAGATTTGCATAATTATAATTGTGAAGGAGAATTAGCTTTAAGGATGACAATCAGCTCAGGATAATTTACCTTAATTATTATAATCAGTAACCCTAATCATTGCTGTGTTTAAGAGCAATAAAGACGAAACTAAATTCGGTTTCATTTGATGCTTTTTACCATTTGTTTGATCTAAATGTCTTTTTTCCCCATGCAGATAATTTGAATTCCCAGCATGTTTAGTCACTCTGTCTCAGGAGGCAGGCGGTCAGAGAAAATAAATCTCTTCAGTGGCAGACAATCCAAAAAACGTCAATAAAAAACACTAAATTTAACATTTAAAAAGACTGAATTAAGCACTATACATATCCACACAATAAAAACAGTTTTAAAAATCTGAAAAACAAAAAATAACTCTACTTCAAAACACATTCTGAGTTTTATGCATAAGTTCGTGCCCTATTCCTGTTTCCTAATGATGTAAATATTTCACCAAGTCTAGTTAGAGCTGTTTCCTAGCAACACATTAATGATGCAATGCACCCTAACCATGTTATAATCAGTCGCATGGTTTTGTTTTTAGCAGTGGAAGAAGCAGAAGTTATTTTTGTGAGCTGATATTAAAATCACAAAGAAAACAGTATTATTCAGTCATCACAATCCTAATTATAACATGGTTATAATGTGGCATCTCATAATTATAGTGTGTGAGAAGGCTGAGTCACCTGATGATTATGGGATTTCCATAAATATGACTGCTGGTATATAATGATGACTTTATCTTATAAGCTGGTATCTAATACATAAAATAGAGGGTCTAGAGATCAACCTGATGTTTACATACATGCAGGCTACATGAACAGGAACATTAAAACAATACTGAATCAGCTTGGAGCTAACTTGTGACATTTCCTAATTAAAGATACAATCCTGTCCTAAATGGAACCCAGTGATCTATAACTGTATTTTAGGGCCACTCAGAATAAGAAATAAACAAAGATATGTTTTAATGTCCAGGGAAAAGCCAAAATGTTGCCAAAAGGAGTAAATTTCCAGAAAAAAAATTCTAAAAAGGTAAATACAAGTGAACCTATTGTAATCTTGAACACAAATGTATTTGTTTTGTTTTAAATAGTATAGTTATAAGTTTGTTTCAATATGTGAACTATTAAAAAACATGACATTTAATAAAGAGGAGCAGCCTTTTGCCCACATCCACAGCAGAGCTTCCGTTAACCCTTTCACAATAAAAGTCTAAAACGTGTGTACCTCAGGTCACCTGAAGCGTTTAAAATGATTATTATTATCTTTCTCTGGTGAAACCCCGGCTGCAGGCTTAATTCCAGTGAATACAGATGACTCTCAAATCCAGAAAATAATTTATTTTAAATTAAATCCTGTTTGGATTTGAAGTCAGGACATGAGTGGCTTAGGTATTTATTAACTTTCCAAGAATTTACATTTGAGTTTAATATAATTAGACTTTTTTTACTCAACATTTTGACTTAATTTTTTTTACAAATTTCTCTTTATGAATTCTAACAGTTATAAAGATATTTAAAAAATGTTCCAAAACAAGGCAACATGGCAATTATGACTAACAGGATATTATTACTATTGTTATTATTAATAAAAATAGACTATTATATTGATAGATAAGCCCAGAGTTCATAATATAAAATGAAACTCGTTTAGAGGTTTTCCCCTTTATTCCCTCCTGGCTATCTGACTCGCTCATACCGGTGGATGGCCTGCCTGCAGTAGGAGAATCGTCCCTTGTTTCTGGAGCAAGAGGCGGGCCTTTTGGAAAACTGGAATGCGCTGAAAGTTTTCCTGCAGGCTCTCCTCCAAACGCGTCCGTCCCGCATAACGACATGGACGTGAGACCATTGGTGCTCCTGCTTGTCCAGCTCTGTCTCTGCTCAGGCTATGAAGGTAAGAACTCTGAAGGCCTCAATCCATCTGCAGGACGTGTACAGACTGGAACCATCACATGGTTTGATCAAAAGCGCGCGGCGCTTATCGCCACCTTGTCCGGTGAAGAAATGTGGCGCACCAGACTCGGGGTTTTGGTTTGGAGTCAGACTGGACAGCTTAAATGACTTTTGGGAGTTTCTTGTTCGCGCTGCTTGCGTTTGGTGAACCGCGGATGTGTTTACGTGGAGGGGGTGTGAAGCGGGGGGAGTGCAGTGTGCATCTGGGAGACAGATCTCAGGTCTGTAGATCAGATTAAAGCTCGTTTTTTAATCTTTACTTTCACTTTTCAAAGTTTATATCTGCAGAGAGGAAATCAGAGCGACTGTCCCTCAGCTTTAATTGTAGGGAGTTATTACAACAACTTTGATTTTCTAAACACACAAGATAATTAAAGATCTATTCATTAACTTAAAAATAAATATTCAGGTTGTAGATGTTAGACTTATCTGTGCAGCTTAAATTGGATGAAGTTTTAAACACCTCAGTAATTTGTTAATTATCTACACGTTTCTTTAAATAAACCCACTCACAAAAAATATCATTATTAGCAAAGAGTCCTGAGCCTTTCAAACATTGTATATGACATGCATGTTTTCCACAGAGACCCTCATTAGAGAGCCTGCAGCCTGCTGCAAGGAGCTGAAGTTACTTCAAAGTTCATGCATGCATGAATGGTGTGTGTGTGTGAATAGATTAAGAGTGGCAAAGACTGCTGCTGAATGATCATGCAGGCTGGAACATGAACACACGCTGCAAAACTGATTCACGCTGGCAGATTACAAACTGCTCGTCAAGATGACAGGACTCTCGTCTGTACTTGTGTGTGTGCGTGTGTGTGTGTGTGTGTGTGTGTGTGTGTGTACAAGCCTATATTTATGGGAGATTTGTTGGACAAGGGCAGTTTGTGTTCTTGGAGGTAAATTATCCCTTTTATTAGTTCTGCAGGTGCCAGGGTGCACCGGATTGAGAAACTCACAGGCAAGCATCATTAAAAAAAACTATTGGGACTTTAAACTGACCCTGGATAAGTAAATTTATAACAGCAAATAAAACTAGTGATTTATTTTTCAGTTCAGAATTGATTGAAACTGTAAAAATAATAAGAGCTTAGTTAAAATACTTCTTTTTAGGGCTAACAATCGTGATTATTTCGGTCAAAACTGAAATGTCAACATTTTAACACTGTGGATTTACATCAGATGGTGGCAGAGTTGAGCTGTGGTGGTGGCTAGGTGAGACTACCTCACCTAGCCACCACCACCACGGATAATGGACAATAAAATGGACAGCCGTAGCTCAGGAAGTAGAGTGGGTTGCCATGTGATCACGGGATTGATTCCAGCTCCCACCAGGGGTATCCTGCTGTAGTGTCCTTAGGCAAGACACTTCACCCCTTTTCCCTCCATTGGTGGTGGTCAGAGGGGTTGTTGGGGCAAAATGGCACTCTGTCAGACCACCATAGGGTGGCTGTGGCTACACAGTAGCTTACCATAACTGGTAGTGTGTGAATGCAAGCGTGCGTGGCTGCATCACACGTCTTGTCACTCCTTGAAAATACAAAAATGGAGCTGAGTGTGTGGCTATGAGGTGGGGGCAGATGATTGACACCTAACAAACTTGGACAATGTAGCTACGAGCTAAATGAGCTACACTGAGGTTGAGGTTGTTGGATGCTTTTAACCAGAAAACTGCGGTTAAGTGACTCTAGTTCCCATTCCCTTTTGAGGCTGAGGCCTTCCCTGGAGCAAGAAGGAGGGCAAGCCGCAAGCACTAGTGCTGATGGCTCACGTGCTACGTGTCAATCAAAAAGACACCCCCCTAATAAATCCTATTTTCAAGGTTTCATTTAAACCTTTAATCTAAATGGATGAGTTAAAAAAAAATTCACAGCCCTGAAAAATGTCATGATGGTAAACCTGGCCTAGTAAACCCTAAACATTTTTGGAATCAGGCTGTAAACGTGTATTTCTGCTGTGAAGTTGGTATTTTTAACATTGGAGTCAATGGGAACATGCTCCTTTCTGGAGCTAGCCCCTAGTGGATGATGGGGTAACTGAAACTTTTGTCACTTTAGTGCTGGCTTCACATTTGGAAGGTTGAGTTAGACTACTATGCATTTTATCACCCTTTAGAGTGTCATAATGATATTTAGATCTATTTAAGATAAAATACATCTCAAATAAACATTTTTGTAACATTCAGACATGTGTACACATGTACTGATAAAAGTTTAAAGTTCCATTTGATCAATCAATTGCAGAAACAAAACATAGATAGACAGCACTGCTGTAAAATTTGAGCTGCTACGGGGGCCCAGAGGTCCAAACAGAGAGGCAGTGTCCATGGAAATGACTTTTATTCTTCAGGTGCAATCAATCAATCAATGCTTGGAAATTCAACTGTGTGAAAAAATATTGCTGGAGAGTGTTTGGACCACGGCTGACGATGATTGAAGAATATTGACAAAGTCAGTTTCTGCAGTTAAAATTTTCACTCCAGGAGTTTTGTTAGAAAAGCTGATGCTGTTTGATGTGGAAGATACAGAAACAGGAAGCTGATGCTGGATACTGATGCTCTTTTCATCATTTTGACAAATTATTTATGAGTGATAAAAATTATGATCCTGATTAATCCAACTAATTAATTTTTTTCCTGCAGTTTTAGATCCAATCATACTTTTGTCCCCTGTTGGCAATAACACAGCAGCAGCTGTTCAGAATTCACTTAAAGTCATCAAAGTTTTGATTAAAAAAAGTTAGAAGAGGACACACACTGCTTGTAATGTCCTTGTGGGAAATTTAAATGACAATTTCCTTTAAAATGTTTGTGTAAAGGAGCAGTCTGCACAAAATCTGCTGTTTGTGGTTATAAAAGCAATTCAGCCACTTTATGAGATTATTAAAATTACGAAGCAAAGCACTTTATTGAACACAAATGATTTTAAAATGCTATAAATAAATTTTCTGCTATATAAAGTAGATCTTATTTTTACCTTACCTTCCATAAAGGCCTGAAGGCGAATTTGACAAATATTGTTGCTTACTCATTTAAATTTCTACTGTATCATAATGTTACATTAAAGGGACTTTACGGAGTTTTGAATTTTTATGCTCGCGATTGCCCCCTCAGGCCAAAAGCGTAACAGCAGCTTCAATAGGAGGCTCACGCACGAGGTGCACATGCTGTACGTGCACACTCCTTCACGAAAATAACAGCTGAGACAGTCCCGTGTGTGTGTGTGTGTGTGTGTGGCCCGAAGGACAGAGGACAGGAGAACGCGCAACTAATTAATTAAATAATTTGGTTCTGTATGTTTCTCTTCAGCACAGCCGACAAAGGTTTATGATGGGTCAGTCCTCCTGCATGCTCAGACCATTCCCTTCCCTTGCTTGAAAAATTGTTCCAAAATGAAAGTTGAACCCACATCTTTTTTATCTGTGAATTCAATGCAGTTCGGCGAGTCTCAAATAAAAATTTGGGCTTCTTACTGTAAAAAATTATACCATTAATGTAAAAAATAAACTCTAAATAATCTATATACACATCCAGAATCGAACCTGGGTTTACCCGCAAGAGAGTCCCATGTCTTACTAGGTGAGCTATAGCATGAGTGAAATCTTGTGTATCTGTGACATTTATATCCTCGATGACACCTGAAACAACGTTCAAAGAACGGTTCAGAGCGAAAATGGCTATTTTGTTGCTAATTTGCAGGAAATATCTAGAAGAAAGTAGCTAAGGGTCCTCAGAAATATAGCTAGGTTCATCACTAGGTGTTAGGAACAGCGACAAAGTCGCTGAGTTGGCACTACCTCACTCTCTGCTGCTAAAGCTACGGATAGCAAATGCTACGGGCTATGCCTGGGCGTGAACGCGCATGAAGCAGCCTGCACGACCCGAGCGGCTCTCTTTTTCTGTGATTTTACAGAAAAACAGGCAATCACAGTAAAAATGCCAGGGCTCATTCTACAGGACCAGGGCATTGCAGGAGAATGTATGAAGAAGAAATTTATTATTTCTATACATGTTTTGGCTGTCAAACTTCCATAATGCCCCTTTAAGCTTTTATTGCATTCATGCTGCTATTCCTATTCAAGCCAGGAACCACAATATCAGCATGCTTTTTAATAAACACTTAGAATATATCATCATTTCCAAGGCATTCCCTAAAAACACAAGTACATGTTATTTTATAAATCCGTGCATACTGTGTTAGCCCCCATCTGTTATGAATAAACTGAAGTGATGCAAAGCCAATAAATGTGATAATATAATATATTCATTGATTTACAATTCATCCAATCCAAAGACGTACAGGCACTGAAAGTTTAGCTATAAAACTACTGTATTAAATATCAGCAGTGGTGTTCATCTTTACTGTGTACACGCCCAAGACAAGTTTTTAGAAAATTATTTTTCCTATTTTATCTGCAAAGCAACAAATGTTTATTGTCTGCAATCATAGGCAATCACGACCAATGTGAGGAGAAAAAAAATCAAGCATTTTGCAGATTTATCGGGTAACAGTTTAAGTTGTATGTACTTTGCAAATGGTTGGAAAGTTTCTTACTTTTCTGATATCAAATCAAATCAACCTTTATTTATAAAGCAACTTACAGGCATGAAACATGCCACCAATGTGCTGTACAATTTAACTTAAACAGATAAAACCACCAGGGATAATTAAAAACCAACAATATAAACATAACAGAATAAAGCATATAAAAATGTTAGCAACAGCTAACCCACAGAGTTAAAATCCAGATCATAAAAGTAGGTCTTTAACCTCATTTAAAAAACCTCTACTGACAGGGAGAGCATTACAGTTAAGGTAAGGGCATTCCATAGTCTTGGACCCGCTACCGAGAACACCCTATCCCCTCTTGTCCTCAGCCGAGCTCTGGAAACCGAGAGCAGCAATTGGTTCACAGAACGGAGTGACCTACCAGGAACGTGTGTCTTCAATACCTCTGACAAATAGGCAGGGGCCAATCCATTTATTGACTTGAACTCCATTAAAAGAAGGCAGCGGCTGCAAAGGCTCGATCCCCCATGGTGCGGTGTGCTGTTATGAAAGGGGAAAGGAGGTTGGAGTCAGCAGAACGAAGGTGCTGGATAGGAGAATGGCGATGGAGAAGTTCCGTCAGATAGGATGGTGCAAGGTTATTGAGGCATTTGTAGGTGATGAGGAGCAATTTGTAATGGATTCGGTATGGAACAGGGAGCCAGTGGAGTTGTTTAAATACCGGAGTTATGTGGTCCCTGGAGCGGGTGTGGGTGAGTAAACATGCTGCTGAGTTTTGGATGTATTGCAGTTTTTGTAGAGCTAAGGAAAGAAGTCCATAAAGAATGCTGACAGTAGACAGTAGTTATGAAGTCGAAGATGAGTGTTTGGGCAGCGGAGTCAGTGAGGGATGGACAGAGACGGAGATGGAAGAATGATACCCTGGTGATGTGGTTGATGTGAGACTTAAAGGAAAGGGAGGAGTCAAAGATGGCGCAGAGATTACGGACTGTAGAGGAGGGAGTCACTGCTAGACCGTCAATTTGGAGCGTAATATTTAGAACAGAGGGTAGGAGAGATTTGGGACCAGTGATGATGAGTTCTGTTTTGGAGCAGTTCAATTTGGGGAAGTTAGTGTCCATCCAATGTTTAATGTCAGAGAGGCATCTTGAGAATGTTGAAAGAATGGTTGGGGTGATTGATTTGCTGGAGATGTAGAGTTGTGTGTCATCAGCGTAGCAATGAAAATGAAGACACTGTTGGCGTATGATGTGACCGAGGGGGGGCATGTAATGGATGAAGAGGAGGGGCCCTAACACAGAGCCCTGGGGAACACCATGGAGGACAGGAGCACATTAAATTTAAGCAGAGCCGCCTGCAACATTGCCATTGATAAATAAATAATGATTAAATTTTGTGGTCAACAAATTTGTTAGAGGACATGCTAGGGCTGGGCAATAAATAGAAAATTTATCATTATCGAAATTTCGTACTCTTATTGAGATAATGTTTCTCATTTACATAAATTTGATAATAAAATAGCAAAACGATGTGTGTAGGTTGGCAACGTTCGTGTCCCTTTAAGAAGCTGTACCACCTTTAGTCACGTAAAAATGTGACTCAACATAATACATGTGACAGCCCCATCTAGTGGACAACTTTTTTTTCTGCGCATACCTGTAGTTCTCGTCCACTTGTCCTTATTGAGGTGAAATCCTCAATAAATCGTGATATTGATTTTAAGTCATATCACCTAGACCTATGACATGTCTCATGTCTTATTTAAACATGTGCTGAACCTGACTGGAAATAAAAGAAAATCTTTCTTTCTCAATCTTTCAAATGAATTAACGACAAAATGCTAAATTTTTTTTTGTTGTTGTTGACTGTTAAGGGTTAAAGCATTCTCTCACTCACTCACTCACTCACTCACTCACACACTCACACACTCACACACTCACTCACACACACACACACACACACACACACACACACACACACACACACACACACACACACACACACACACACACACACACACACACACACCTGTAATTGGATTTCCATAGCCTTCTCACTCCATTAAGAAGCAGACACTTAAGTTTACCCATTAGATCGCTAAATCTGACTCAGTATGTGGGTTTGCTCTTTGCCGTCCATGCTGTGTGATCTGACTTCAAGCTTAATGTGTGTGTGTGAGAGTGTGTGTTTGTCTATATTGCATTACAACATTTATTCCAGAAAAAGTTTTGTTAAACTCACAAAAATCCGCTATAAGGACTGAGAGGTTTTCTGTGTTGGTATCCACGTTCACCAGAACATGTTACTTTTGTGTGAATCAGGAGGGTTGAACCTTCTCTCCTGTGGGTCCTGAACAGAAGACATATTCACGTTGGGATTCATAACAACCCCCAGCTATGAGGTGGAACACCCTGCCCTCCAAACTTAACCCCTTCCTTTATGCATTTCCTCTTCAGCTCACTGACTCCAGGCCACTTCTGCCCTCTTGCCTCCATCATCACTCTCCTCTAAAATGATCCCTCTCGTAATTATGCTCACATTTGTCTCTTGCCGCTGCCTCTCAGCTGTATCTGACAGCAGCTCGGCAGCCATCAGAAATTTCAGCTCTTTGAATAATTGTGTTGATAGTTGAAGCTGACTCAGACCAGTCTCTGGTCCTGTGGGTCCTGAACAGAAGACATATTCACGTTGGGATTCATAACAACCCCCAGCTATGAGGTGGAACACCCTGCCCTCCAAACTTAACCCCTTCCTTTATGCATTTCCTCTTCAGCTCACTGACTCCAGGCCACTTCTGCCCTCTTGCCTCCATCATCACTCTCCTCTAAAATGATCCCTCTCGTAATTATGCTCACATTTGTCTCTTGCCGCTGCCTCTCAGCTGTATCTGACAGCAGCTCGGCAGCCATCAGAAATTTCAGCTCTTTGAATAATTGTGTTGATAGTTGAAGCTGACTCAGACCAGTCTCTGGTAGGTATTAGTCTGGAAGGTCTTGTGGAGCCAAAATCTGATAGACTTTCCATTTGAATTAAGACACAGCAGGGGACTGCAGAATAAATCTAGCACAGAGAAGATTTTTTCCCCTAGTCAGCTGGGAAAAAAGATCCTCATGAGATTTATTCTTCATGCATGTTTTGTGTCCAGAAGATTAGTCCCCTGGAGTCTAATTAAGATGGAAAGTTTACTAAAATGATTTTATTTACAGTAAGAAAAGCTCTTTAAGATCAGCCTAGGACAATGCTTTCAAACATTGTCTGGCATGTTGATCCTGGATGTGGCTTTGCTTTGCATTAGTACCTTTTCTTGTCTTCACCCCCAGGGTCTGGACAGTACGCATATGGAGACGACGAGGACTGGTATTCCCGTAGATATAAAGGTAGTTTGCACAGACATTCATTCATGCAGACGTTTGACACACTATTGCAGTGGTTGTGCTGCCTATGTAATCTTTTAGTCACTTTAATGTTTAAGTGTAGCTCAGGAACTATTTATGTTAAACTAGTACAAAAGCAAATATTAAACCATTTTTCTGTGACTTTTAAACTAACGTCGCTGAGAGATGTAAAGGCCGAAAAACTAACAGCTTTTTGATCAGCCTCAGCTTAGAGAAATAGAGTTCATATCTGGCAGGACAGATGATGACTAATTGTTGCCTTCTTAAAATAGCTCCAGTCTGCAGAATTATCCTGCAGCGTGTGCATTACTATTTTATAAACTTTTACACTACAAGGGATTTTGCATCATGTGGTTATTTGCATGGAATTCAAGCTTCATCAGCAGAAGCTAACTGTGGCACTTTCTGTGCATTCAGGGGTCAAATCTGACAGGATTTGTTTAAATAACAATGTAAAGCAAAATAAATGCTGTTTTAACTGTTTATGAAATGTCACTTCCACTGATCGCTCTGAAATCCAAGAGAATAGAATGATTTCAAAGGGGCAATAAGTAAGAATTTTGTAGTGAAACAATCACAATCTAATGTCTCAATCATGTTAGAAAGAAGGTTACATTGAAACAGAATGTAGTGGCTATTTGTCCATGAAACTCAAACCAAAAAATAATCAAATTCTTTCAAATGGCCACTGGGCTACGTCAAGGGTTAGGCTTTAAAAAGATTTCAAATCAAACAATGTCCATGCCAAAATTGCGTTTGGTGGTGGTTTATTCTCACAAGAAGCAAGAGCACAGATTTTTTGCGTCCTCTCTGTCTCTGTGGTAAAAAAAAAACCATGTCCCCTCGCAGCCCTGGCTGCTCCACCCACCTTGACCTATTTATACAAATAATCACCCACACCTGACCAATAAACAATAAACTAATTAGCCAAAATAATAAATAAAAAGCATAATGCAAAACAAACAAATGAACTTTAGCATAAAATAAAGAAAATAAACTAGGCTATAACTTAAGCTATAACTTCAACAACCCAGCCCCTAATTGCGAAGGTACTTTACCCGCAATTAACCGTAGCATTAGCACAAAGAAGCTATTTCCTGACTGAAGCCTAAGAACTAAGCCGGAATCTTTGGATCCTCACCATGTCCTTCCTGAAGGAAACAAATAGATAGAAGATTAAGTTGAGAGGAGTGTGGGTATCCAAGATGCACAGTCATTCATTGGCCTCCAGGAGGAGACAAAGCTTGGAAACCGGTCTGTTCCTGGATGCTGGTCTTGGTTTGGACCTTTGCAGAGCGGACCAGTCCTCTGGAGTCAGCTGTGGTGCTCAGAACTCTGCCCATCATCCAGGAGCCTCTTGGAGCAGTGGCATCAGCGATCACAACAAAATCCCCAGAGGAAAAACTTCTCCTTTTCTTTGTCCATGTTTGCCTTTCTTGCATTACAAGCAAATACTCTGGTATCCATCATTTCCAGAAGAGCTCCCCCATGTATTGCACTTGCCTCCATCTCCTCTTGATGTACAGGTCAGATTTTTCAAACAGTCCTGGTGGTAAAATAGGCTTGCCTTTTAGTAGGAGAATATGATTTGGGGTGAGTGCCTCCAAGTCATTGGGGTCTTCTGAGACTTTAGTGATTGGCCGGTCATTGAGTATTGCTTCGACCTCACAAAACAGCGTCTGCAGGCCTTCTTCATCCAACGTTTGATGTCCTACAACAGAAGTAAGTATACTGTGCACTGAGCGAATCAGACGCTCCCAAACTCCACCTTGGTGAGAGGCAGCTGGGGTATTAAAACTCCACTTCACTCCTTCCTACACAAAGGTTCTTTCAATTTTAGAGTGATTTAGAGCAGCCAGAGCCTGCCTCAGCTCTTTCTTTGTACCTACGAAATTTGTGCCATTATCTGACCTTATGCTTCTCACAGGTCCTCTTCTGCAGATAAATCTTCGCACAGCATTGATGCAGGACTCTGTATCAAGGGAGGTTGCCCCTTTCAGACAGGTGAATATCACTCCATATCGCTTCAGCAAAGTTCTCCCTCTTCTCACCTCCAGTGGTCCAAAATAGTCCACTCCAAAATTTGTGAATGGTGCTTTATCAGGCACAACTCTTTCCTCAGGCAAGTCTGACATCTTCTGTTCTCCAAGTTTTCCTCTGTACCGTCTACACACTGTACACTGCGACAGAATCTTTCTGGCTGCAGAGTTGGCATTAATTATCCAGTACTTCTGTCTCAATCTGTGCAGCATATGATTGCGTCCAGCATGTCCAAGTTGGTAAAGAATGTGACGCAATATAAGCAGGGAAACATGCAGATCCTTTGATAGGATCACAGGATGTTTTACCTCCCATGGTAGAGCAGACTTAGACAGGCGCCCACCAACTCTAAGAATGCCATCTTGAATTAAAGGGTCAAGGCGATACAGAGGGGTGTCTTTGGATCATGTTTTAGTGAGGCAATTTCCCAGCTAAATCTTTGGTTCTGAACAAACTGAATTATTGCCTTTTCAGCCTCCTCCAAACACTCTGGTGTCAAGCTGGATCTTCCAAATGTGGCTTTGAAAACTTTAAGCTCCTTTTCCACATTTACAGTTGACTTAACTGCATACTCTTTTCTCATGTTTATGTTTATGTATTTAGCAGACGCTTTTGTCCAAAGCGACTTTCAAGTGATAATCGGCATGTTGCCCTTGAGGCTAACAACAACAATAACAACAACTTGGCATCGATCATGGAGAGGAGGGAACAAAGGAGTGGACGGTAGAGGAGGGGACAGGTGCAGGGAAGGTGCTAGTTAAGAAGATGCTCTCTGAAGAGCAGGGTCTTCAGGAGAAGTAAAAGTCTTTCTTTCAATTCCAGCAACCAGGCCACGGATGTTTTCATTTTTCTCCAGGATGAGAAATAGTGAATAAGCCGACTGGTGGGATTGTCACTGTGTGTCATAATAGCACTCACTTTAAGTTCTCTTTTCACCTCTGGATCATCCGATGGGATGGTGGAGTCATTCAAGTCGAACTTTGGCCATTCGGTGGGAGGTAAGCTCAAGAAATCTGGTCATTTTAGCCATTTTTCTTTTCCAAACTCCTGAGCTCTTAGTCCTCGAGATGCTTCATCAGCAGGATTGTCTTTGGTGTTTACATATCTCCACTGATCTTTGTGGCTTCTCTTCTTGTGCTGACACGGTTGGCGACGTATGTATGAAAGCGCTTTGTTTCATTACAGATGTACTTGAGAACAGTAGTGCTATCAGTCCAAAAAAATTATTTTTGCAACGGCAACTGGAGCTCTTTCAACAGCATTATGTTCACTCGCACGGCAAGCGCTGCTGCAGCAAGCTCAAGACGTGGAATAGTAACTTGCGTCAGTGGAGCAACACGAGCCTTGCCTGTGACAAATGAAACATGCACACTGTTAATGCTCTCCAGTCTCAAATATGAAACACCATCATACAGGTGCTGGCCAGTAAATTAGAATATCATCAAAAGGTTGAAAATATTTCAGTAATTCCATTCAAAACGTGAAACTTGTACATTATATTCATGCAATGCACACAGACCAATGTATTTCCGATGTTTATTACGTTTAATTTTGATATTTATAGGTGACAACCAATGAAAACATCAAATCTGGTATCTCAGAAAATTAGAATATTCTAAAGGCCAATGAAAAAATGTTTGTTTCTCTAATGTTGGCCAACTGAAAAGAATGAACATGAAAAGAATGTGCATGTATAGCACTCAATACTTAGTCGGGGCTCCTTTTGCCTCAATAACTGCAGTAATGCGGCGTGGCATGGACTCGATCAGTCTGTGGCACTGCTCAGGTGTTATGAGAGCCCAGGTTGCTCTGATAGTCGTCTTCAGCTCCTCTGCATTGTTGGGTCTAGCGTATTGCATCCTCCGCTTCACAATACCCCATAGATTTTCTATGGGGTTAAGGTCAGGCGAGTTTGCTGGCCAATCAAGGACAGGGATACCATGGTCCTTGAACCAGGTGCTGGTGGTTTTGGCACTGTGTGCAGGTGCCAAGTCCTGTTGAAAGGTGAAGTCTGCATCCCCATAAAGTTGGTCAGCAGCAGGAAGCATGAAGTGCTCTAAAACTTCCTGGTAGACGGCTGCATTGACCCTGGACCTCAGGAAACAGAGTGGGCCAACACCGGCAGATGACATGGCACCCCACACCATCACTGACGGTGGAAACTTTACACTGGACCTCATGCAACGTGGATTCTGTGCTTCTCTGCTCTTCCTCCAGACTCTGGGTCCTTGATTTCCAAAGGAAATGCAGAACTTGCTTTCATCAGAAAACATAACTTTGGACCACTCAGCATCAGTCCAGTCCTTTTTGTCCTTGGCCCAGGCGAGACGCTTCTTGCGCTGTTTCTTGTTCAAGAGTGGCTTGACACACGGAATGCGACACCTGAATCCCATGTCTTTCATGAGTCTCCTCGTGGTGGTTCTTGAAGCGCTGACTCCAGCTGCAGTCCACTCTTTGTGGATCTCCCCCACATTTTTGAATGGGTTTGTCGTCACAATTCTCTGCAGGGTGCGGTTATCCCTAGAGCTTGTACACTTTTTTCTACCACATTTTTTCCGTCCCTTCGCCTGTCTGTTAATGTGCTTGGACACAGAGCTCTGCGAACAGCCAGCTTCTTTAGCAATCACCTTTTGTGTCTTGCCCTCCTTGTGCAAGGTGTCAATGATTGTCTTTTGGACAGCTGTTAAGTCAGAAGTCTTCCCCATGATTGTGGTGCCTTCAAAACAAGACTGAGGGACCTTTTAAAGGCCTTTGCAGGTGTTTTGAGTAAATCAGCTGATTAGAGTGGCAGCAGGTGTCTTCTATATTCAGCCTTTTCAGAATATTCTAATTTTTTGAGATACCAAATTTGGAGTTTTCATTAGTTGTCACTTATGAATATCAAATTTAAATGTAATGAACATTGGAAATACATTGGTCTGTGTGCATTGCATGAATATAAT